GGCAGGGCCCCAACCTAGTGCAAAAGACAATTATTGGTACCAGCAGATGAGCCACCAAATCTGCTGCCGAAGGCACTGCTCATACGAGGGAGGGGAATCACTCACGGCATCTACTATAACACACCAGGAGCCGTCAGGCTTCCTGGCCTTCTCTGGCTGTAGTCTCGGCTACAAGCCACACACCGCATCCACCCCCAGGATGCATTAGCTCTGGGATTGGCGATTCCATTCTGTTGGGGGTAATCGCCAACCCTCAGGGTTTGTGTCTGCGGTTGCTCCAACACTCGGCTTTCACAGCCACCCGTGTGACTCACAGACCCCTGCACTCAGGCCAACCCACTGCACAAGCACCTGGGTCGGGGATCCAAACTCTACATGCGGCTTGGGCTCCACCCCAAGCCACGTTCCCCACCTGTCCCTCAAGGACGGTTCCTCAGCTCCTCACCCTCACTCAAGAATGAGCAGGGCATCACCCACAGGTGATTTTATGAGACTCACAGTTCTTCAGCATACCCGGGTTGCTTAACAGCCGCTTAGGGCTTCTCAACTTAGCATCAGTACCAGCTTTTGCCGCCTTAGTTGGCTTTTCTCCTCCACCTGGCTGCTGGGCATGCACAGGCTGCTTTTGGCCATCAAGGCCCACTGGCCACCCCCAGATTCCCATCTCCTGGTGTTTACAAACAAAACTGTTCCACCCCCAGCGTCCCAAAACATATCAACCTGCAAGGTCCTCCGCCTTCTGGCGGGATTGTCAGTCCAAGTTCATCAGTCCGTGTCCAGCAGTGGAAGTCCGTTGGCCTCTCCCTGCATCAGCACTGGCGAGCTCTGAATCGTGGTCCACTTTTCGCTGATGATTCTGCTGCCTCAGGGGTTGTTGGCTGGTCCTTTCAGGTGTCATTGGCTGGTTCTCTCGGGCGTCTCCTTCACGCCAGGTCTCGTCCTCTAGCTTGTGGACGTTGTCCACCTTCTGTGCTGCCATGGCGCCTCCAGCGTCATCACAGGCAAACAGTCTGTTCTCCTTAGTCCCTCCAGGTCTTCGGAGGGCTCCAATACCCGTCTGCATGGATCTTGCCGACTTACGCCAATTGTAAGGGCAGGACAGGACACAGTGCAGGTTTTCTGATCCCATGTAGACCGGGTAAAGGAGGAGTCAGAGTCCTCAGTGGTTTTGCAGGTTTTTATTGGGGTTCAGCGGGTACGTGGCGTGCTGGGAGGCTGGCAGTCCTCCCAGCCCCCAGCAAATCTCCACTCTATCTGGGCTCGCTGGCCTTTTCTGCTTCTGCTTTGGGCTTCTTCTCTTTCGGCTTCTCCTTCAGCTTCTGCTGCTTCTCGGCTTCTTCTGGCGTCCCCGTGACGCCGCCCTTAAAAGCCCAGTCTTAGCCCAGGTGAATCCCATCTACCTATGCCCACACCCTATTTCAGGTGCCCGCCATCAGGCATGCATTCAGGACTGCAAGGATCCATCATCTATCCTGACGGTGGGAGGGCAGAAAAGCCTGATATTTTTCCTTACCCTACACACAGCTATATAGTTTAGGGTTAGGATTTCACACCTTCATATGTGCACATGCTTGCTTCACTCACCCTCCACCAGGGTCCCAGTGCTGGTAGCCAGTCACCTTCCCTGTCCTACTCCCTCCTCCCCCCTGTATCCCCACTGGTAATCATTTATATTTTTTACAGACTATAAGAATTCGTTTTTGTTGTGTTTTGTCAGTTTATTTCCTTTTTTTAAAAAAAGATTATTTATGCATACAAAAGCGGGTACAGGCCAGAGATGCAGGGGGCTGAGAGGACTCACCAGAGACAGCGTGGGGAACAGAACAGGCAGACTGACTGAAATACCCTGCTGAGGAGAGCAGCGGGCGAGTCAGGAGAGGTCTGCTGCGCCATGTGGGTTTCTCTCTGGCCGGCTGGGGATTGAACTCGTGCTGCAATGGCTGCAGATTGCTTCATAGTGCGGTGCTTAACCCCTTGAGCCACCAGTGAAACCCTCAGTTTATTTTCTTTGGTTGTTTTTATTCCATAAATAAGTAAACCCAACCAGTAACTTTTACTTTCTGACTTACTTCTCTTGGTATAATCACCTTGAGATCCATTGTTTTTTGTCCCAGAAGGCACTCTGTCATCTTTTTTAATAGCTGAGTAGTATTCTGTTGAAGGCATATTCCAAAGTTTATCCAGTATTTTGAAAAAGGGAGGAAAAACCTTTACTCTTCCACAATGCTTTTCTGGCACATTCTTGTCATATATCCTGAATATTTGCTTCAAGCCAGAAATTTATGTTTTGGGAAGAAAATGAGGAACAGGTTTATCCCAAGGTTTGAGAAGGGAGGCTCAAGATGTTCACCCCCTGAACAATGTAGCTTGGGATGTGAGCTTAATTGCAACCCTTGGGTCATTGCCTGTCTCTTTGGGAGAATGTACACTTACTCAGAATCATTAAGAATTTGTTCACATCACATAGGTATAGATATGTATTCTGTCCTGAATGCCCTCTCCTTGCTTTGAATCCACGCTAAACGAAGGGTTGAGTACTTTGAAGCCCTTGGAGGATAACTCCGTTCTCCTCTGGCTCTAATGACTAAGTTAGACTTAGTTGCTTATTGTTCACATAATGGCTGAGTTGGGATATGATAGTATTGAGCGTGAGATCTTCTGCTAAGTGTTCTCTGTCCAAGCCCGTATTTACTGATCCGACTCCTGAGAGGTGGATTTTTAGTTGGATGGTGCTGGGAATGTAGGATTTATTTTACATGTGTTGTTGATGTGTTTGTTTCAAAAGCAGGATTATAATGAATCTAATTCATTATATTAGGTATAATTTGGGTATAATCTAATTATTTTCAAGTTATACAAAAGATAAGTTGTTTATATTTCTTCTATTTGTGATTATAGATCAGCTGTAGAACTCTTTGAGATGTATAGCATGGCAGCAATGACATTCAATCCTCCTGTTGAATCTTTAAACTTGAAAAGGAAGGTATGTGATACTTTTATTTTTCTTAAAGTAGAAATGAAAACTAAGGTAATATATCTGTAAATAATGACTCCAGGTTACTCAATTGTTTTATAGGCCGATTTTTTTACATTTCAGTGTTGATGGTAGGGTGAATTTCTGGGGTTGGAATTCTATAGAGACAGTTAGGAGACTACTTGATTCACTACACAATATATCCCAAGCCTGACCCAGCACTATCATTATTATGTTTCATGTACTGGTTTGGTTGTATGTTTGCTTACCTGTTGGCTTTTGCTTATGACCCATATGAATTTTTAACTTATATATACAATATTTTTTTTCCCCAGGATAAAGTTTTACAAGGGAATTCATTTTTGGATGAAGATTTAAATCAGCTAATAAAGAAACATTGCAATGAAGTTGCTACTGAGCTGCCTCTGGATTTCACCAAATATTTGGAAACATCATTACGGTAGCAAAAGAAAATGAAACATCAATGGACTTTCTTGTATCTTTGTGTGATTTTGCAGATACATATAGAGACATGTTGTTAACTTAGGAACTTTTCTTTTTATATAAGAAAGAATTCCTAAGAATGATTAACAGAGGAGGAAGAATTACCCTTTGCATACCACAGGGTTCTGCCCTGATTCTGAAAATGTCATCTTGATAAGAAAGAATAGTTAAAAGCCATCCCCCCATATTTAGAAGTTTTATTTCTAATGATATTGCCTTATTAAACTTGAGATGTATAGCATGGCAGCAATGACATTCAATCCTTCCTATATATATATATATATATATATATATATATATATATATAGGATATATATATATATATACTTATATATATATTAAGTTTCACTGTTTAAAAAATCTTTGAGGGCATTTAGGTTTAATTCTGTCCCCTCAAATCCATAATGTTAAAGTCTAACTCCCTGTATCTCAGAAATTGACTGTCTCTGGGGAGAGTCTTTGAAGGGGTAATTCCGCTAAAATTAGGTCACTAGGGTGGGCCCAATCCAATGTGTCTTTATAAGAAGAAGAAATTTAGACACAGATAAAGAGGGAAGACCATAGGAAGACGCAGGGAGAGGACAGCTAGCTAGAAGCCAAGGAAAGAGGCCTTAGAAGAAACAAATCCTGCCTACACTTGATCTCAGATTCCTAGAGTCCAGAAGTATGGAAAAATAATTTCTGGGTATTACAAAGAATCATTGAACTGAGCTTATTGAAATGCTAGATTAAAATGAGGGTTATGAGCTGAGACTGCTTTTACTGTTCGTTGACTGTTTATAACCAGGAACTCTGTAGCCAAGTGAGTCTTATTTTTATTGTATTACCATAGGAGGACGTGAGAAAAATTCTGAATTTGATTGAGTCTGTTTTATGATGATTTTGAGAAAAGAAAAAGTAGTTTGAGCTTGGATTGCAGGTTCATTGGCTCTCACTGGATTATATACTTCAAGAGTAACCTAATTTGGCCTTTTAAAAAAAAAAAATGAGTGTTCATTATGGCTATTTTGAAAGTAAGTTTGAGGGTCCCTTCAAAATTCTTCCATTTTCTGACAAGCTCTGGGGGAAGTTGGGGAAGAATGAGTCCAATGTGGGAAGACCAGCCGCAGACTTTACCATTCTGCATTCTGTCTTAAGGATAAAAGTTACTCAGTGAAGGGCTTTTTTTTTTTCCTTTTTTTTAATAGACAAAATGCTTGTTTTTATAAATACAGTTAAAGCAGTATTTTATATAACAGCTATTGCCATATTCTAGGAATGGCCTATGAAGTAAATGTTTTTATGACCAGTTTATAAATATTCTCTACTGTAAATATTGGAATAAAACAACTTTTTTTTTCCTATTCTTGTGATGTGAGAATTTTTTATAAAATGCACAGTAGTTCAACTATATAGAGCTCCTCTTACTTTAGAGAAGTAGAAGCCAATTCTTGGGATACTAGCTTAACCATGCACATTAATCTTTCAGCATGTACTTATATATGATTTTTTAAAGTTTAAGATTGATTTTTTTTGGCTTGATTATTTAATAATGAGAAAGATATGATTCAGCATAAAATTGGCTTTTAATCCACCTTTAGATAGAAAACAAAGTCCAGGAATGTTATGAGTAGTTGTATGGATGACTGAACGGTCTGTCCCCAAGAGCACAGTGACGAATACATGTCACAAATCATTTATTTTTTAAACATGCAAATACATTTATACTTCACTTTGGCAACAGAATATAGGTGAAAAAATCAGTTTTGAAATAGAAATTCATTAGCTGTTTCATGCTTGTATTATACTTTTAACCTTGTTACAAAAAGAATCATGACCATAAAATTATACATCTAGTATTTGAGTATCCTGTATGAATTTGATGAAAGTTAATTATTCATTCACTTATAGAGCCTTGTATTGATGAGTTTCACCTTCAGAACTAAATAGTTAACAATACACATACACATGACTTGAGGCCGTACTAAGCTACAGCCTTAGTTTATTTTTAACTAGCCGAATATCGAGCACCTACTATGTGCTTAGCACTGTGCTATGCACTTAAAATGAAGTGGGGAAGTGGGTGTAAGAGCCTTCCATGATCTTGCCCAGTGAGTCAAATTATTCACAAAACACTTCCAAAATGTGACAAATTCCCAACTCAGTGTCAGAATGAGTTATTTCAAAGTTCAGAGAAGTGTCATCTAAAATAGGGATGGTTTCAGAGGCCTGCTTGATGGCAGACTTGAATACAGTATGTTTTGGATTTAAGAAATGTATATGAATAGCTTGGTAATCAGAATTCAATTAGTATTTAAAAAATACTCATTTCAGCTATTTGCAAAATCCTTAATCATCAGCCAAGGGTTGCTTTTAGGAAGTGCATACATAAAACCCACAGAGAACACATCAGTTGTTAACAGTGCACTGTGTCAAGGAAATACTGACCCAAGTTTGGACTTATTGTAGTAATTTTTGGAGGTCTCACACATTCATCTCTTCTTGCTTTTGCTGATGTGAGGGAAGGAACTGAAGGGACAGAGGCAGCCACCTAGAGTAAGTGAGGTTGCCTCTTACTCCAAGTATAAGATCAATGACCATCCAGGGAAGTCCTGCTTTTTATTGGCACAGGAGTGGATGGTGGTGCCTTGAGGTTTAGAGTTAATCTAATTATACCAGGCAGGTAAGCAAGCTTTTAGTACTTTTCAGGGTTGAATAAAAATTGTGAGTATATGGGCAGAGTACGAGAAGCTTACAGAGATACAAGAGAGGGAGAAAACAGATAAAGTGGAAAATATAGATTAAAAAGAGCACCCACTTGCATTCATGAGCCGCCATTGTCTTCAGAGTGGTCCAGATGCATGAAAACAAATTTGATTAAAAACAAGGCACCTGTCATTAGCTGCTGTTGTGTCTGGACTTCCTATTTATCGCCAAACTGGAGAATTTATGAGTAATTTGTATTTACTAAGGATAACAAAAAAGAGGCTTTCAGTCAAGAGGGCACTTTCTGCAAAGGTTGTATTGTACAACCGTGTTGTACAATCTGTACAACATATTGTACAGATTTGTCCTTGATCTTCAGCTCTTTAACATCCTCATGTAATCTTAATTTTGCAAAAAAAAAATTCAGATAAATTGGTGACCAAGAGGAAGTTAATCTGCTTCTTCTAGGCCATCACCCATTATGCTGGGTTCTTACTCCAACCCTTTCTTACCAACTATAGGTTTTTTTAAATGTTGGGCCCCATCTAACGGTGACAACTCGTGCTCCTTTTTTTTTTTTTAGCTTCAGTTAATTGCCTTGAAATAATTTTCTTCAAACTCTTGTAATAAACCCAGCTTGCACATTTAGATTTGTTTCCATATCAGCCTTACTGATAAGTGATTTTTATCCAGATTTTTAGTAATCTGGAAGCTATTACATGGTAATGCTTATAGTCTGGGTGGCTATTTTAGATGCATTCTAAATAAGAGGCTAATTTCATCCATTAATATACTAATATAACTTTAATTCAGATAGCTGTAAATAAAAAGTTCATATTTTTGTGCTAGTGAATTGTAATATAACAGTATCGTAGACCCTTTACATTTTGAGCAATGTCTCCTAAAATCCCCAACAGTCAAATATAATGGAGAATGTACTTTAACCTCAATGGAATGAACAACCAAGTGGGGTTGCAACTCGCTAAAATCCAGTCTTATGGTACACTTTGAATTTTGTGCTGCAGCCATCGCAATTATATCATAAAGACCATGGTGGAATGGGGTGGGCTGCCATCTTAGAAAACGTCAAGGCCAAATGACATTTCTAGAGAGTCTAGTCTGGTTTTTCATCATTCCTCAGCAGTTTTCATTTTCACTCTAGCCAGATGGACCGGTAACTCAGTTTTCAACAAGCCAGAGGAGGAAATGCCTTTTCGTTTTTAGAAGTTGATAAAGCGTCTGGAGTATTTTAACAAGTGGGGCAGCATTGAGCATTTGTTATTGACTGATTAGTTCATATATAAAGAAGAAACCTGTAGCATGGTACAAACCTTGTCAAACTGGAATAGCCAGCATTGTCAACAAGCAAATGGTGGTTTTTCATGCTTTAAAGTTTTGAAGGAGTAAGAACTTCCACTGACAGGGGAGTTGTGGGTGTAATTTTAATACTTCTGTTTTCAGAATATGCTAAAAATAGGTTTTATTCATTTCTGTAATTGGTACAAACTTCAAAACTTAGGATTTTTAGTGTTTTATCATTTGAAGAAAAATGTCTTAAATTTTAATATCAACAGGAATCTAAAATTTGGATTTCACTTTAGAGGAATACATATTTCATTTTAAGAGATAATTTGCTTCATACCAAGAATAAGGAGAATCCTTTATACTTACATGATAGCTTTATACAGCAAGGTTTTAATAATTTACATTAAGCGGCAAGTATGACTTAGGTCAATAGCTCTTCAGTTAATGAGATATGAAAAGGAAGCTTTTTGATGTGAAATTCTGGCCCATTTCAGGTATTCAGACCATACATTTTCTTTTTAGGAGATTTATCTTCAAATAGTGAAATAGAACCACTAATGCTTCAACCCATAAACCATAACAATGTGATGTATAATAAATATACAAGTACAGTGTCAGTACAAAGTTTGCAAAATAAATAAATTTAAACACCAACTCAATCTACTTTTGCTTTTAAAAAATGGTTAAGTTCCCTTATCTAGTATCACAACTCAGTAGATATTAAATTATACATCATTTTAAAATCGTTTTATGAAAACCGAAAGTGGAATAATCTGTGACTATATAAGCAATAAACTTCAAAAACCCAACATCATCTACATGTAAAAAGAAATCCGAAAGAGGAGTACTTTATGGTACACAATATAGAAAGTAAATTGAATTATTTTTTAATGAATCTTATAGGACATATTTACATTTGCAATGCCCCCAAACTTCCATTTCTCAGCTATAAATCGTATCACTAACTAGCTTGCTACTTGTCAGACCTCTTGCCTCTTGTTCCCAGTTCTAAGTTGGGCCAGAAAACTCTGGCCCCTAGGCCAAATGCAGCTGCTATCAGTTTTTGTACGGCTCTGAAAGAACAGTTTTTAAATGACTGAAAAAAAAAAAGGAATATTCGTGATGCAAAAATTATATGATGTTTCAATTTCAGTGTCTGCAAGTGGTTTTATGGGAACACAGACACTCACTCGTGCATTGTCTATGGCTGCTTTTTGTTCAACAGCAGAGCCAAATAATTGCAACAGAGACATGGCCCAGGAAGCTTAAAATAGTTAATACCTGGCTCTTTACAGACAAGATTTTCTGACCTTGTTCTAAGTCAATTAAGGCAAGCCACTGACATTTGTAAAATGATAATCTCCTGGACTTGCTTCTTTCATCTGTGAGTTGGTCGGTAGCTAACCTTGAGCCACTTTGCTTTTCCTCACATCGCGTGAAGAAGGCTTCAGTTCAGAAATCATCAATTTCCAGTTTAAGCCTAATAAAAATAAAGAAATTATATTTATAGTTTCCACTATATTCATTCTTGACTTTAATTTCTTGTCAAAGAATTTCACTTGGAAAATTGAACACATGGGCTTATTAGTATATTTATTTTTTTAAACTTTTTTTTTTATTTATGCATACAGGAACTGGGGTATAGGCCAGAGATGCGGAGTGGGGGAGGGTTGAGAGGATTCACCAGAGACAGAGTGGGGAGCAGAATAGGCAGATTTACAGAAATCCACTGCTGAGGGGAGCAGTGAGTGAGATAGGAGAGGTCTGCTGCACCATGTAGGTTAGCTCCCTCACTGGGGATCGAACTTGTGCTTCATAGTGCTGAGACTAATCCCGTGCACCACCAGGGAGGCCCTTATTAGTATATTTAAAAGGAAGAAGCAGGAACATTTAGTTTGTAGCAAGGGTTTAGCTTTGTTTAACCAACAGAGACCCCCAGTTCTGGTCGCTGTGTGTGTGTGTGGGGGGGGGGCTGTTTCCTGTAAACACACTATTATTATTGTTAGGCTATTTCTGCCCTTCTCAATACCACATTTTTTAGAAATATATTTTTTTAGGTCACAATCAAATGAAGTTCAACTTTTCCAAAAAGGTGACATTCCTTTAACTAACTGTATTCATTACTTGCTTTTCATCTTGTTTCTCATTACACTGTTTACAACATAGGCAATTTACCCCCATGCATGTATCAATAGCTATTTTTAAAAAGAAGCTCTAAATTTTAGCAAAACTGAGGTCAACTACATGCTTCTGAATGTCTGTTTGTTATAGGAAAATTGGTTGAAGGCATTCATCTAAATCATCAGCCTCCCTACTCTCCTAAAACATAAGCAATTAATAATGCTCATTATGTAAGCATTTTAAAGTCAAATTTCTATGGAGTTGTGTTCTTATGGACTCAGTGTTTTCTTGAGACATGCTGAGGCCTCATCTGCAGAGTGGATTTTTACTATATTATTATGAGTGTGTGTAACGTGAAATCTGGACACCCATGATTTATTTCATGCTAAGATCTTGAAATGGAAGACGATATTTTCAGTTCTGACAGTGTCCTTGGGGAATGCTCACAGACACTACCATGATGAGTCATTTTCTAAAAGTTGGAGAGTTTTGGCTTTTGAAAAAGGTATAATTGTCTCAGTGACACTAAGGCAGAGAAAAAGTGAGCCTAGAACTTTTTTTTTTTTAACCCCTGCACCCCTTATGTGTTGTTTTCCTAGGCACCAGTTTCTGTTTGGTGGCAGCTGACTGACATGTGAGCCTAGAACTTTTTTAAAAAGTTCCTGCAATGCAAGGTGCTCTTAGCAGAAAAGGGGCTGAGCCCTTTCAGAGTCTGATATGCCCAGAGCTTCACTGCGCTGGCCATGTCCACTATCTGCTGCCATTGGGGGTGTGGGTTGCTCCCATGGAAAGAACTCTCCTCCCAACGAGCCTTTGCATACAGACCCTGAACAACCTGGAATTCTTGGAAGAGCTGTGATGGAGACCTACGGGAGTAGGCAGGTTCCTGATTTTGGCTCTGTCTATTCTGCAAGGGCACTGGAGGTGTGAATGGGGCACCACTGATTTTTAGCAGATGCTCCTTAAAATAAGAAACATGAGCTTCATGTATTGGGTCTTCTTTCAGACTGTTATAAATCAAAATTGTCTCTGTCAAAAGGTGTCAATGATTTCTTTAATTCTAAACTTAACACAATTTATGCAAGAAACTCCTGACTGATAAGAGAGATGAGGAAGCTCTGCAGCATAAGTTATGATGCTTTCAATGTGCCTTTGGTATCTTGCTCAATTTTAAATCTTAGCACTACAATGGAACAGGGAATAATCCCTTGACATCATTTAGAAACTGAGTGACAGAAGAAATTTTTATGTGTGGTTTCTTACATGCTTTTTCATTCAGGTTCCGTATAAATAATTTGCTTTAAGATAGAATGAAATTTACTCTGTATATGAATACCAAGCAGTGGGGCTGGCAACCTAAGTTACTGCAATTTCAAGATAGCGACTACTGCTTATTTTGCTTTCTCTTAAACCATCACATCCGGGATGACAGATTTTTTTAAAAAAAGATTTATTTATTTATATATATATAAGAACTGGGGTACAGGCCTGGGTTGTGGGGGGTGAGAGACAGAGTGGGGAACAGAACAGGCAGATCGACTGAAATATACTGCTGAGGGGAGCAGCGGACGAGACAGGAGAGGTCTGCTACACCATGTGGGTAGCTCCCTGGCCGGGGATCGAACTCGTGCTACAGTGGCTGCGGATAGCTTCATAGGTTGCGTCTCAACCCATTGCGCCACCAGGGAGGCCCCAGAATTTTTTTTTTAATTGAGGCAGAAGAAATTGAGCTTGTTGAGGCTAAATCAAGCCTAAATTAGAAGAACATAAAACTAGAAATCCAAAGGAATATAAACTGGATGACTCACAGCAGCCTGTCAAGAATGTTTATGTGAAATTAAACTTTGAAACTGACTCTCAATAAAAACAGGCAGTACAGGGTCTCCCTGGTGGTGCAGGGGTTTAAAGTCTCAGTGCTATCAAGCTACCATCAGCCACCGCAGCATAAGTTTGGTCCCCAACTAGGGAGCTAACCCACATAAGGCGCAGCAGACCTCTTCTGTCTCACCTGCCGTTCCCTTTAGCAGTGTGTTTTGATGGGTCTGCCTGTTCTGCTCCCCACTTTGTCTCTAGTGAATCCTCTCACCCCCCACACCTCTGGCCTATACCCCAGTTCTTGTATGCATAAATAAATAAAAATAAATCTTTTAAAAAAGTGTTTATGTGAGTTATCAGTAATTAAGACAGATCTATTCTGATGAAATGAAGCTGCTGTAATACTTGGGGGAATGTTGGTTGTTCTCTTGGTGCTTTGTTTAGTTTTCTACAAAATGAGATCTAAAATTATAAATGCTGGGGCCTCCCTGGTGGCGCAAGGGGTTAAACACTGCACTATGAAGCAATCCACAGCCTCTGCAGCACGAGTTCGATCCCCGGCCAGCCAGAGAGCAACCCACATGGTGCAGCAGACCTCTCCTGACTCACCCGCTGCTCGCCTCAGCAGTGTATTTCAGTCAGTCTGCCTGTTCTGTTCCCCACTCTATCTCTGGTGAATCCTCTCACCCCCCGCACTTCTGGCCTGTACCCCAGCTCTTGCATGCATAAATAAATAAATCTTTAAAAAAAAATAAAATTCTAAATGCTGAAGTTGAATTGCTCTTCAGAGCTCTGTTCCTGTTTTAAGGTACCATTCCTACTTGCCTTCCAGGGACACCCTCCTCTTAGAAAAAAATAAAAGGTACTGTCAAATAAGGTCTCCCAGGTAGTCTAAGTTGACTCCATTTCAGAATGGGCAAAGACTGTACCTGGGTAAAACCTGCTTCCCTGGGTCACTGCCGATAGTCTATCACGTCAGTGGAGGACAAGCTGCCCACAGGTTTCTCCTCCTTATTTTGGACACTTTCCGAAGCCAAGACCAGAGATGGTGATGTAAGTCCTCGGGGCTGTTTGGTTGACTTGGTGAGCTTCTTGAATTCACTTGCAAAAGAAATGCCTTTTCTTTTGTCTTCTCGGGATGCCTGTGATAAAGAAGAACCTTCCATTGATGTTAGGTTAAAGCCAGTATCCTTCATCACCTATCAGAAGAAACCTTTCCTCCACCTTCTTTAGTAAGTAGAGTTTTGGAAAGAAGGGCTGAGGTCTCCCCTGGCAGGACTGCTTACCTACAGAGGTGGATACATTTCATACAGAGAAAAAGCCAAATGTTTCCTCCCAACCAAATTCCTTGACTCAGGCACTTTCTCCTAGATTTCACTAGCTCCCATTACATTGTAGTTGTAAATAGGAGATAACGTGGGAGGAGAGTGAGATAACCTTGAACTTTACCTGCACCTGCTCCTTCAGCTTAAGGATGAATTTTCCTGCACCTTTCCACTTGCTTTGGACTTGAAACACACACTCCTGATCCAAAAGGACCCTCTGGGAGGACTTTGGAGCAGACGTCTTCTTGTTGGTAGTGTCCTTCACCACCTCTTCCAAAAGCACGTAGTCACTTGGGTTGGGGTTGCTCAGGATGCTATAGGAATATTTGGCTTTGCATAAAGTCTGAAAGGTAAGTTATAATCAAGTGAATAAACACATTGCTTTTAAAGGCAAACATGTGCTCTGAGCCGAAATGAAACTTGAAGGTGGACAAATGTCAGAGACTTTAGAGGGGGTCATTCAGGTCCTTGCATTTCTCATTTCATGTGATCGTGTACTGTCCCACATGACCTCACTTAGTCGTGCAACATTCCACGATTTGGGTTTTCTTATCCCCATTTTCAGACAAAGAAATGTAAGCTGATAGAGGCTGCCCTAATTCCAGAGCATGCACATAATAAGTAGAATAAGGACTTGAATGACTTTCTGCATGCACCAAGGCTCATGATACTCAAGCAGGATGGGACAGACCCCTGGCCCTCTGGGGTCTTGTTCCATTAGCTGCCTCTCTCGCACGGTCTTGGATGTTGAAGGCATTTTAGAACTCATCTGTTATCACTTTTCATTTAGTGCAAGATTATCATTCACTTACACATTTATTCACACATCAAATGTTTCATGTCCCCAACACTGTGGTATTGTTTGGGAAGACAGAGATGGACAAAAGAAACATATATGTGAGAACTCTTGGAGTACAAAGTTGATTAAGGAGACTGATGTTAGCCAAACGATCAGGCAAGAATAGTAAATAGCAAATAGCACTTAAATAGTGCTTACCATTGTACTAGGCAAAGGACTTTACCTATATTCACTTAGAATCTTCACAAGCACTGGGTGAGGAAAACACTACTATACATACTTGGGCCATGCTATCTATGTGATGACTTACTACACAGGCACATGTTAGAGACAACTGAAGTCGGGTGTGATGGGTGTATTTATAAACAGCAATTGGCAAACACTAAAAATCTGGGCCTTTTGTTATTATTATTATTATTTTTTTTTTTTAAAGATTTATTTATTTATTTATTTATGCAAGCACTGGGTACAGTCAGAAGCGCCAGAGGGTGAGAGAATTCACCAGAGCCAGAGCGGGGAGCAGAGCAGGCAGAAGGACCGAAGCACACTGCTGAGGGGAGCAGCGGGCGGCAGGAGAGGTCTGCGCGCCATGTGGGACCCTCCTCCGGTGGCCAGGGAGCAGCCGGGGATGGAACTGGCGCTGCAGAGGCTGCGGGCAGCTTCGCAACCCAGCGCTCAACCGCTGCGCCACCGGGGAGGCCCTGTTATTATTTTTTAAGATTTATTCATTTTTCATACAAGAGCTAGGGTACAGGCCAGAGGTGCGGGAGGGTGAGAGGACTCACCAGAGACAGAGCAAGGAGCAGAACAGGCAGACTACCGAAACACACTGCTGAGAGGAGCAGCGGGCGAGGCAGGAGAGGTCTGCCATGCCATGTGGGAATCTCTCTGGCCCGCCAGGAATCGAACCTGCACTGCAGAGGCCACGGACAGCTTCACAGTGCTGCACTCAATCCGTTGTGACACTGGGGAGGCCCGTAGGCTTTTTATTATATATTTATAGAAAGCAAATTCACCAGTGTACCACTGTAACAAAGACATGGATGCTTAAATAACTGGCCCAGGGTCTCAGAGCTAGTAAGAGGTACAGCTGAGGCTGGAACCTGGAGCCCGGGGATCTAGGGTCTGTGCTGTTGACCTTATGCTAGTTCTCAAATGGGTGTTTAGGGAATGCAAACCTGACAAGGCCTTGGAGGAAGGAAATATAGTTTTCTGAAACCATTTTACAAAGAAGCATGACCTTGAGGAGGGGAGAAGATCAGAGTGAACCTCTTGCAGGTCCTTCCAAGGATGCTGGAGAGATCAACAGTGGGTACCGGGGTATGCATTTCTGGGACAGCGAATCACTATGTGGCAGGGCCAACTAATGAATCTGTTATTATCAGTGTTTCACAAAGAGCCAGACGCAGAATAGGAACCAGGTAAGTATCTGTTGCAGGGATGGATGAACTAAAATGTCCTAAATATCTGTTGCAGGGATGGATGAACTAATATGTCCAAACCTTAAGAGGCACATTCTCCCTTTCTGGGATCCTATTGTTTTAGAACTTCATTCATAAAAAGAGCTGACATCTGATTTTCCCCAGTGATTTACACTGAGGCCAGGGCCAAGGGGAGGAAGGGACGGCTTGCACCTGCTGGATGACGTCCTGCGCAGTGCTGACGCGAGGCGCTTTGATGACCGTTCGAGGTTGCTCTGGGGAAACGTCATGGACCTGGACAAAGAAACTCTCCATCTCTGAGCTCAAGATCACCTCCTTGTCGTCTTGAACGATGCATTTCTCTTCGAAGTTCTGTGTTAAAATAGAAGAAATGTGGGTAAGTGGTGAAATGATGCAGAATAGGAAAAAAATCCAGCAAAAATTTGAGATGTATCTTGGTAGTGTGGAGACAATTTCTTAGTTTTCTATTTCAAACACTAGTTAATATTTCATCAACGATTCTAAAAGGATATACATGACTTTTGACAAGAAGAAAGCAAGGTAGGGATTTCTGCTGATGTTAACAGGATGACAAGGTCTGACCCACAAGAAACCAGATCTGCTGCTATCAGCTGTGGATTTTGTGTTCAAATCAACTGCAGGTAAATTTGTAAAAAGGTGATACAACACTCAGTGAATTGCCAAAGCCCAATAAAAACAAGGTAAACCTCCACCCCCCACACACACCTGGAGCATTTAAGAAATGCTTGATGTCTGAAAAGTGAAATATGAGAAAGTGACTTTCAACTTGGCTGGACAAATGAAAATCCACAGTAAAAAGGCTGAAATAATGGCTGAAGGTAAGTCACATTGAAACAAATATTGACAAAAATCTTGATAATTATAAGAACTGGTCATCAGGTTAGTTCAATTTTTATGAAATGATTCTCAGTGAATTTTTAAATATTTATCTGTATTACCATAATTAGATAAACCTATAGGCGCATGTATCTTATCAACAGTATAGAAATAAATCAATAAAAAGGCAAACTTTACTATTCTCACTTCCCCTTTTTCTTCACATACATCAAAATCACTGTTGCTAGGTTATATTTGCTTCTAAACAATTTCTATGGGTACACAAAGGTATTTTTTATATGTGAATAAATATGCACTGGAATGATATGAATTTAGATATAATGTAATTGTCAAAAGGCTTCTGTTCTCTGTTCCATTTCAGGAAGTGAGCATTTGGCAGGAAAGTCCTCAGCATTCTCTGAGCCTAGTCTCCTCAGATCAGGCCGCTGAAATGGTGCTAACCAACCACAGACTCCAAGAATAGCTCTTACTATCCTGGACGTTTCAACCAGTCATAGGACCCAAAATTGTCCCCACTGAGGGAAGGCAGAGTGGACAACTGCCACCAGGTGGCGCCAAACTGCAGCCAGGACCAGAAAGGACTGGCTCCCTCGTTCCCAACCAGCTGCACAGGCTCTGGAGCCAGTCTTTTCATTCGTCCTGCAGCCTGAGTCTCTACCATTTATATGACTGGATTTTTCGGTTCCCCATTCACTATACTATAGGTAGCAGGGGGAGAGCTATTTTCTATTTTTATTATATACAGTGAGACTGTCCTCTACTATGTATGCTGTTTCACAATTTGCTTTTTTTCTCATCACTTCAAAGATTGTGGTCATCATTTCCACGGTAATTCCTAGAGATTTTGCTCCCTAATACGTCATGGCATTGACCATAATATATTTAACAAGTTGGAGAGTATGTGGGGCTGGGTGGTAATTCACATGACATGTTTATAATCATAGAGTCCTAAAAACCAAGAAGCAAGCAAGCAAGAAAAAACTAGTTCTAATTGTCACATAAAATATTCCAATAACCATGCAGTAAATATTATTATTAAAATTTCTCTTTAGAACCTCATTCAGAGCTTATATATATTTTTCTTTCTTTTTTCTCCCATTTTAATTTATATATTTTTTACATCGTCATTCATTTTTGTACCATGTTTGAATTCTCATCTCAGGTGTTGTCCCCATAAAATTACCACCACCAAGACACCAGAGTTTATATATTTTTAAGGAGTGTTCAGCTGCATTATAAGTCATAGGTGGTGGTTGTAACAATAGCCCTCAAGGTAACCTTTTTGAGCTGGAAGGGGATGATTTCTACTATGTAGATTTTACTAATTAGGGCACAGAGCTTTACAGAGGTCAGATGAGCTGTCTAGGCTCATCTAGCCTGTGGCAGAGTCAGGTTTGTCTGATGTCCAATCCAGCAGGTGTCAGAGGAGGATGTTGTGACCCCAGGAAGAAATGATACCTTGACAGCTTGACAGACCAGGAGACAAACAAATCATAATAGGCAGGAAGGAGAGATCCAAGGTCACAGTTCATGGACTTTTAACACAATTGCAAACTGCTTACATATCTTATTGGTTCCACAGAATAAAATAAACAGAAATACTTAAAGCTGAAATCCATTAACTTTGCTATTGTCCACTTGTGTTTAGTAGCATGTGAATTCATTTGTCCAATTAGCAAATACGTATTATACATCACAATGTACCAGGTCAGCCTAAATACATTAAATGTGATATTAGGTACCCAATAAATATTCATTTCATCAAATTATTGAACTAGCTTAACTGCTTCATTATGACATCTCATGATGCACAATTGTCTATGTTGGTGAAATGGCCTTATGTCATTCTAAAAAATGGCAGAAAGTTAGTGGGGCTCTTATCAGTTTTTCAGGAAAAAAAGTTGCTTCAGTAACAAACTCCAATAGGAGCCAATGGGTCTGGAGTGGACATGCAGTTACTGGGTTGTTTCCTCCATGGCCATTCCAGTGAACCTAATTGCTTTTACTAATTCTGACCAAGCCTGAGAGATTATTCTTATTTTGTAGTATGAGGTGATGGAATATTTTCAAATAAACACTGTTGTTTTACTTGTAAGTGCAGGGCCTTTAATGAAAACTTTAATAGGTGTTAACAGGAATTCAACTCACCCCCAAAAGTGAAATGCCCACAGGCCTTGCATTACACAATACAGTGACTTCACAACCACGTCCTTTCACACATATAGACAAAATACTAGGTCGATGGTCAATGACACACATACAGTTTTGCTCCCTTTTGTAATATGCGCAGGAGGACAAAACATCTTTCCACATTTACTTAAGAAGAACAATATAAAATAAGTTGCAAATATAAGAAATTCTGAATTTCTTAAGTCCAGCTTAAGGGGGTTAATTACGCTTTGAGTTGTTACCACGTAGGCTGTTCCCAGACACACTTACTTCCTGCTGGGTTTTTAAGACAATCCTGCCAACATATCCCTCTTCTGGAAACCAGCTGCTTAAGATCTGGGAGATCTCTTCTTCAAGACCGATGACTCTCTGGAACGGTTGTTTCCTACATTCATTCTTTTCTTTAGATATAAAATATTTTTCTTCCATCAAAAAATAGTCTGTGGCACTAGGGCTGATGTCTTGTTCAATGGTTAGAATCTTAAAAAAATAAATAAATAAAAAAGCAAAGGCAAATTTAGGCACACCTCTGAGAAGTGGGCAAAAGCTTTAATTCAAAACAAGTCTCTTCATGGCGTTCCGATAGGCTCCATGTGCAATTTACAAGCACAACCAACTCAGAGTGTTGCATAATTCTTTTTGGAAGCTCTAAGAATTCTCTTATGTCCAAAAAGGATTGTTTATGTCTATTCTGGGCAATGACACAATTTATTCATAATCCCCAGACAGCATAACTATTTTTCCCACTGCTGGAATGAAGCTCCTAGTGAATTAAAAACTTTAGATTTTTTTAATCTATGAATTTAGCTCTTCTTGATCTTGCGCCCTAAGGTGGAGGGCAAGGGACCCAGAGCAGCTTTTACCAAGATAACGTCTTTTTCTCGGTTGGAACTACTCAATCATTTTCTAATCTCATCTGATCTAAGTGCCTGGGAATTCTCCTTTCAATAACTCTTGACGGTGTGTCTAGAGGCTTGTTTCCTGTGTTGGCTACTGCCCCTGGGCAGGGAAACAGAGCGGTGGAGACAAGGCTCCCTAGAGCCAGACAGACCTGGGTCTGAGATCTGCCTTTAATATATACTGGCTGTGAGGTGTTGGGCAAGATAGTTAACCCCTTGCAGACTCAGTTTCCCCATCTATAAAACGGGAAAGTAACAACCTCTTAATTTTGTATTGTCATCTGATGGCGGCACTGGTTGTTTCCACCAGTTATAAACCACAGGTACATGATGAGAACTGAATAAATACTAGACATTATTATATTTGCTGGCCCTGGTATATTCTTTCACATTCATCCGGTATAGGTTACTGACAAAAGGCTGAGCTGTAGTGGGTGATGGTGGAAGGCGGCCACCATCTGGCCTGGTGAAGCAAGCATCCTTCTAAGGCCGCTCCCCCCCCCCCCAAAGATGCAGCTGTCAGAATCAGCACTTGGCGCTGCCGCTCCTCCTTGCTTGGAGGAACGGCAGATGAACTGAGGATGGTAGGGCAGAAGAGTCTCAGGAAGGCTGCTTCTTTCACCCAAGTCTTGGCCTAAATCTATGTCGGGCTACTGGTTCTAAGGGGCAGGGCAACTACTACAATGTAATTTATGATGTGAAGCTTCCAAGAGTAGGATGGTTTGATAGGGGGCTAGGAAGGAAGGGAATACACCAGACCTAGTGCACTAATCTGCACATACACACCTAGCACAGGCTGTGCATACCCACTTAAATGACTAATGATGTGTTTTCTTCAAACTAAAACCCTTGTTTGAAACTGAGATTCCTGTCCTGATGGTGCCAGACATCAACACCATCAGAAATTAACCAAGCAGGCCAGGATGCACCAAGGTCAAGATAACCGAGAGGCTGATAACAAGCTCTGGGGACTGAATGTGATAAATACCAGGAACATCAACTGTGACGGGCTGTTCTGATGGGCTCTTTACTTATGCTGTCTTTAGCAGACATTATAAAGAGACCAGTTTGAGATGAGAGGTAAGAACAGTTTCTTCTGGGTGTATACTCATTGCTGGCCCACAATCTGAAGGGAGAAAGCACCTATAGATTCAATTCCTGTCTCTGCTTATTGGCTTTCTGGGAGTGACAGGCAGCACCAGACATCAGCCTATTCTGCTATCAGAGCCAGTGTCACTCCCTCCTCAGTTCTGCTTTACCCCATCCATGCACTTATTCACATAGCAATCATTCAAAATTCTTCTCTAAGTTAAGGTAACAAGGTCCCTCAGATCATTCTTATGATGACCTCAGTGTTGAATAACAGGAATAAAAAGGAAGACCATCAATATGAACTTCTGTATATTTCTGCATGCATGTGCACACATGCACACACACACATGCACACACACACATATAGGTTAGAGGTTGGAATCTCCCAATCAGGGGCTCTGTCGACTTACCTGTTGGAGAAGCTGCTTTGCCTTGGTGCCTCCATTTATACAGAAAACAGTAAAGGGCTCTGGACCTGGGACTCCATGTACTGTGACCCTGTGAGTCTGCAAATATTTTCTTTCTTCTGTGTTAAACATCTGTCAAGGAAGATGGTGTGACTGCTTATTCATTCTAAATAACATGTGATTTCTAGGCTATATTCCACACAGAAAGCAAGGTCTTAGAAGTATGTAGAGGGGGCATCCCTGGTGGTGCAAGGGGTAAAGACACAGCACTATGAAGCTATCCGCAGCCACTGCAGCATGAGTTCGATCCCCGGCCAGGGAGGTGACCCACATGGTGCAGCAGACCTCTCCTGACTCGCCTGCTGCTCCCCTCAGCAGTGTATTTCAGTCAATTTACCTGTTCTGCTCCCCACTCTCTCTGGTGAATCCTCTCACCCCACCTCACCACTGGCCTCTAGCCCAGCTCTTGTATGCATAAATACATAAATCTTTAAAAAAAAAGAGAAGTATGTAGAGGACATGTCAATGCAAAAGAAGAGAATTCATCAACCACCAATGATTTATTCAATCTGGCCTATGCAATGAAACACTCAAAAATGCCCAAAAGATGCAGTTCTGGGAACTTCTGGTGCAGGGAGGGTAATGTGCCCAGAGAGGGCATGGAGGTGCTGCACCCCCTTTTCCTGTACCTCACTCTCTGAGCCTCTCCCATTTGGTTGAGTTGTATCCTTTATAATAAACCAGAAATGGTTAAGTAAAGCCCTTTCCTGAGTTCTGCGAGTCATTCCAGTGAATTAGTGAGCCTGAGGAGGGAGTGTGGGGGTCCTTTTGAAATAGCAGTTGGCTGTCAGAAGTACCAGTGACAGCCGGGACCTGCTGTTGGCATCTGAAGTGGGGCTGGCTCATGGGAAGGAGCAATGGTAGCACTAACCCCGGGAGGATAGTGCCAGGGTTGATGTGAACTGTAGGTCACTGTGCTCTTCTCAACCTTGGCAAGACATCAAAAGGAAAAAGGGGGAGAACCAAAGAAAACTAGTTCAGCCACAGAAAAGAAACTCACAGGGTAGGGGAAAGAGAAGCAGAGAAGCAGCAAAGCTATTTGGAGATGGCAACAGTGGTGAAGCCAATGCCCAGGTGAGCACCTCTGGTCTTTCCAAGACTTGTCAGAATGATGCTGAAGGGCAAGATGGACATGACAGCAAACTGATGATGAAAGAGGTAACTGATGGACACCCTTTCAAGCTAATTCTTTAAGAGCAAGCATAATGGAATTAGAGAGCCCATTCAAGCAGGGGTACTTGTTTAGGCAAACAACATACTGGAGCTGAGCATTGCTGGGGTGAGCACTGGGCCAATGATTTTCCAACTTCAGCAGGCACAGACATTACCTGGAGGACTTGCTAAAACACAGATTCTGCAACTGTGGCACTTGTTGCCATGCTTTTCTCCCATTCCCTAGAGCACAGATTTTCTGTCTCTCTATGTGCCAGGGTGCCAGTTATGCGCAGCCGGCAGGGCCTGGCTGTCCACCTCAATCTGCTTACCTGTGACGTCTGTCCCTGGATCACTGGAGAAGCAAAGGCTTTTCCTAATCTAAGCTCAAGTTTCTAAGTATCGTGATGCTTTCGAGCAGGATTGGCTTAATTAACTCTTTCCCCACATTGCTATTTTTTTGCTCCCTTCTTCGGCAAGCACCTCAGTGTGCTTCTGTGAGTATGGGCTTTGGCACTAGAGAGCTGTGTGATCTCAGACGTACTGAGTTCCCACCCTTCCCATCTGTGAAATGGAGATGGAACTAATCACTATTTCAGGAAGCTATGAGAGCACTGAGTTAGTATGTGAAGTGCTTAGAAAGTGCCAAGTACCAGTCATTGTTATTATTTCCAGAGCTACCTGATTAGTGAACCTAATTGACCACATCCCTGAACCACCAGAAAGCTCCTCTTGTGTAATAATGCCCACAAATATACTGAGTGAAACAGGATTTAATTACCAAAGAGGCTGGCATCGTACTGCCAGAGGGGTTTTCTTCCATCCTTCTGCTGTTAATGAATAAACTAGAGATTTCCAAGACTTCATTGTGGAGGTTTCGCAACTGAAGATGTCGATATCCTGGAATGATGCAGAATTGGGAACAGCTTGTTATTCATGCACTGCAGGTAAAGAAGATACCTCAGGATGTCAATAAATTGCAGGTAGAAATAAGACAGAAGATGGCAGATGGCAAAGGGAAGGCAACTAAGAGGTGTCTTTCACTGTGTAATTCTGTCCCTGGTAGTTTTTTTTTTTTTTTCAGCGTTTCATTTATTTTTATTTTCTTACATCATTGTTCATTTTTGTACAGTAATTAGTTTTTCCCCTCAGATGCAGGCCCCATCACCATATTCCCTTGTGTTCTTTCCTCCCTGGGAATAGCTTTGGGCCACCTAGTGGCAATTAACTTGTCCATTAGTTAAATAATTTTTTCCTAACTGTATTCAGCAGAAAAGGGTAAACTCAAACACAACATTATACAAAAACCTGATCTTTTTTATATCAAGGCATCTATAATCAGTTTTACAATTTTTCCAGCTTAGAAAGCTTAAATGATAATGTAGTCTAACAATAAGGGGTAATTAAGCAGGTTATGGTGTGTTTGTATGTATATAAAATGAAATACCATGCAGCAAGTAAAAGTGTAATGTAGGTGTGTAGTTATTAACATGAAAAGTTGCTCACTATATATAGTAGTGAGTAAAAACCAGTAAGTTGCAAACATTGAGATTAATAGGCATTTCATTTGTTGAAAATATATATTGTATGAATATGTACTATATGAAAATATTTACTATATGTACTACAGGCTAATCTATATATCCAGGGGAAGAAAAATAAAGCTTGTAAAAAGACACACATAAAAAGTGATTATTTTGGAGAGCTGGAATGATAGAAAATTAAACAAAATCATTTTGCTTCTCTATATTTTTTCATATTTTCATAGTAACTTTTATAAACTCAGTTGCATCTTCCCTAAATTCACATGTTGAAGGACTAATGCCAGGATGCCAGGTCCTGAAGATAGGACCTTTAAAGAGGCTATGGAATTAAAATGGGTCATTGGGGTAGGCTCATGTAGGGTAAGGTAAAAGGTATCAGGCTTTTCTGCCCTCCAGCCATTAGGATAGATGATGGAACCCTGCGGTCCTGAATGCATGCCTGATGGCGGGCACCTGGAGTAGGGTGTGGGCATAGGTAGATGGGATTCGACTGGGCTTTTAAGGGTGGCGTCACAGGGACGCCAGCAGAAGCCAATGAAGAAGCCGAGAAGCAGCAGAACAAACAGAAGAGCAGAGAAGCAGGGAGAACGCCAGAGAGCCCAGATAGAGTGAGGATTTGCTGGGGGCTGGGAGGACTGCCAACCTCCTGGCCCCCCAGCACCCCTGCCTGCCATGTGCTTGGTGTAGGGTAAGGAAAAATGTCAGGCTTTTCTGCCCTCCCGCCATCAGGATAGATGATGGATCCTTGCGGTCCTGAATGCATGCCTGATGGCGGACATCTGGAGTAGGATGTGGGCATAGGTAGATGGGATTCACCTGGGCTAAAACTGGGCTTTTAAGGGTGGTGTCACGGGGACGTCAGCAGAAGCAGAGAAAGAAACCAAAAGAGAAGCCGAGAAAGAAGTAGCAGAAGCCGAGAGAGAAGCAGAGATCACCGGAGAACCCAGATAGAGTGAAGACTTGTTGGGGGCTGGGAGGACTGCCAGCCTCCCGGCCCCCCAGCACCCTTGCCTGCTGTGTACCGGGTAAATCCCAATAAAAGACCTGCAAAAAACCACTGAGGACTCGGACTCCTCCTTTACCCGGTCTGCTGGATCTGAAAACCTGCTCAGTGGCTATTCCTGCCACTACACCTGGTAATCCCAATAAAAACCTGCAAAACCACTGAGGACTCTGGCTCCTGCTTTACCTGGTCTGCTGGATCATAGAAAACCTGCACAATGTCCTGTTCCTGCCCCTACAATTGGTGTAGTTGGCAGGATGATCCATGCAGACAGGTATGGAGCCCTCCGAAGACGTGGAGGGACTAAGGGGTAACAGACTGTGTTTGCCTGTGATGACGCTGGAGGCGTCATGGTGGCACAGGAGATGGATGAGGTCTGGGAGCTGCGGGACGAGACCTCGCATGGAGGAGATGCCCGAGAGGACCAGCCAACGACCCCCGAGGCAGCAAGAATCGTCGGGGAAGAGAGAACCACGATTCAGAGCTTGTCAGTGCTGATGGAAGGGGGGCCTAATGGACTTGGACTAATGTACTTGGACTGATGAACTTGGACTAACAATCCCGCCAGAAGGTGGGGGAACTTTGGCAAGTTAAGTTTTTAGGACCCTGGGGGAAGATGCTATTGTTTGTACACCCCAGGAGATGGGAATCTGGGGGTGGCCAGTGGGCCTTGATAGCCAAAAGCAGCCTGTGTATGCCCAGCAGCTAGGCAGAGGAGAAAAGCCAACTGAGAAGGCAAAAGCTGGTGCTGATGCTAAGTTGAGAAGCCCTGAGTGGCTGTTAAGCAGCCTGAGTATGCTGAAGAACTGTGAGTCTCGTAAAATCACCTGTGGGTGATGCCCTGCTCGTTGTTGAGGGTGAGGAGCTGAGGAACCGTCCTTGGGGGATGGGTGGGGAATGTGGCTTGGAGTGGCGCCCAAGTCGAATGTAGAGTTTGGATCCCCGACCCATGTGCTTGTGCAGTGGGTTGGCCTGAGTGCAGGGGTCTGAGTGTCGCATTGGTGGCTATGAAAGCTGAGTGTTGGAGCGACTGCAGACAGAAACCCTGAGGGTTGGGCGATTACCCCCAACAGTAGAATAGAATCGCCAATCCCAGAGTGAGTGCATCCTGGGGGTGGATCCTGTGTGTGGCTTGTAGCTGAGACTACAGCCAGAGAAGGCCAGGCATGCGGTCCCGAATGCATGCCTGATGGCGGGCACCTGGAGTAGGGTGTGGGCATATGTAGATGGGATTCACCTGGGCTAAGACTGGGCTTTTAAGGGCGGTGTCACGGGGACGCCAAGAGAAGCAGAGCAGAAGCAGAAGCGGAGAAGCAGAACCGAGAGAGAGAAGCAGAGATACCACCACAGAATGCCGGAGAGCCCAGATAGATGAAGACTTGCTGGGGGCTGGGAGGCCTGCCAGCCTCCCGGCCCCCCAGCACCCCTGCCTGCCTTGTGCCTGGTAAATCCCAATAAAAACCTGAAAAGCCACTGAGGGCTCCAGGACTCCTCCTTTACCCCATCTGCTCGGATCATAAGAGATCCTGCTCAGTGCCCATTCCTGCCCCCACAGACAGATTCTACCTCGTCTGAGTGCCTTGAGGGGGATGATTCTCTGAGCAGTGATTGCCGAGCTGTTGTTTTCCACGACTGCAAAGCGAAGGAACAGGAGATCTTCAAAGTGCACCCGGAAGAGAAACTGCTCATTCCACATGGGGTTCAGGGTGTTTCTGTGGATGGGCTTCGTGCGGAAGTGGCAGCTGTCCAGAGGCGCGCCGAGGACGTCAACTTCGATACACGGGCTTCCTGTGCTGTTGCTTGGGCACACATTTTGACCAGAGACAATCTGAGGGGGGAAGGAAAGGCTCAGAGTCATTCAAGATGAAAAAGAAACAACCCAGCCTCTGTACCTCACCACACCCCTCCACAGTGAAAGAAAAAGAGCACGTGGAATGACTGGGCAAAGGGCTGCATGATAAATGACAAAGCTGCTTAGAAAGAGAGTAATTGTAATCATCACCACAGACTGGGATCATGTGAAAGGCTTATTTTGTCAACAGCATTCACCTACCTACAATCTTTCACTGTTAAAATGTTCAAATCTCTTCTAAAACCAAGACATTAAGGCAAAATTTAATTTCTTACAGAAGGTGAGAGACAAGAACAACTTAGGCACTGGGGCCACGAATTTGTTGCTAACATTCTGCGCATTTTATAACTTCAAAATCTTTTCCTTGAATAGTTTAGTTTTGGGGTAAGTTATAGGGAATGTTGTTAAAAATCAATTCGTTGCCTTCTGTAAACAGACTAAACAATACTTGACTATAGCTAAAATGGTCAAATAGAAAAGAGGCTTTGCCCTACTGTTTCAGGGAGAGAAAAAATCAGTTGGGATGGTAGGGACACCTGTGAGCAGGGCTCTCCTGGGGTTGGGAGTGTCAGAAACAGGGGCTGTTTGGTATTCTTCCTTTGGAGGGGAACAGACAAGAGCCAAAGATGAACAGAAGAGATTACTTTATTCTGCTTGTCATTCCTATCACCAATCCAGTGGTTTTCCCCCCTTGCAGTCAGCTAAGAGGGAGAGAACAAGGAAATACGGTTGAGTAATGAGCTAACATGTTTCTGCTATTAGGGAAAACCGTGGAGTTTTGACAATTAGTTAAGTAGACAATAAAAAATAAGGAACAGTCCAGGAATGAAGAAAGTCAAAGTGTAAAGACAAAGGATATTTAATTGTATTGGTATACTGATGCCTGTTTGATCTTATAACGGCTTGTTGGAGTTTAAGATGAGCTGCTGTAATAAGGAGCTCAATCTTTAGGGGAGACACTTATAGTTCTGATTTTCAGACCCCTGGAAAATAGAGGTACAGATATCAGTACATGTGAAGCAGGGCACTTATAGCGCCATCTACTGGGCTCTGGCAAAACCAGCATATCTAGACTATGAGAATATAGCCACTGCTTTCAGAGAGGTGAAGAAATTCTTTTAGGAATTTCTAACTATTTAGGAAATAAATCAGCAGTGACATGACAGCTTTGTAATGTCTTCAATCAAAACTAGTACACATTCAGAAAGGTTTCACCACTTTATTCTATTCCAACAATAAGGCCATACTTACAGTTAAAGAATAGACAGCAGGCTCCATGTTGTCTAAGTCTCTTTCCAAAGGAGAAAATTTCTGATACATGGGACAATTCTTGTCCCACAGAACCGGGGGTTTCAAAACATAACCACAGCCACCGTTGGCCTCAAACATGGCAGCATTTAAATGTAAAGGGAGATCTGTGAAACAAAATCAAGGGTGCTGGTTATTTTCTTGCTTAGGTGTCATCTTACACATTTACTCTGAAGTTCAGAAGTGCTCTGTATTGATCTTCCTTAAGCTTAAGAAAGAAGAGATAACTATTCATTCCATAGAGCAAGCGCCTGCTGTGAGCCAGGTTGTGTTAGGTGCTGGAGATACAGCAGGTAACAACACATAAAATCCCTGTCTCCCCAGGCTTACAGCTATGGGATATATCCAGTGTTCCCACTTCAACCCAGTTTCTACTGCTTAAAAACTCTTTTTGTAAATAAAAAATTTCAACAACAATCTGAAAAATCTTTGGGCCACTTCATTTTATACTGAGTTTTAGAAAGGACTTCTTATCCCCAAATGCTAAACCATGCAGACAACTATATGACCAAAGCTTGCTTTTTCAAATATAAGATAAAAACTTAATTATTTGTGAAAGAACAGAATAGCCTGAAAAACCTATCATTCCTTGAGATCTCAATTTCAAACCATAAATCACAATACTTTACTTCTTACTTTGTAGTTAAAAATGAAAAAAAATAAAACCAAAGCCATCACATGTGATTCACATCATGTCCCCAAATTCCCTAATCATAAACTCTGGGAACCCTGACAAAGGGCTTCTAATCTTTTCTGGTCATATTTTATCTGGCATAGTTCTCTGATGAGTGATTGGATTCCAGCATTGTGTTTGGGCGCTTGCATATTCATAGGCTCATCTGACAGCTCAAGTCTGTCTAAAAGTTGCCCAAATGAGCAAAAAGTTTATGGGATACACCTGGCAAATGTTCTCTCTGATAGATAATTTCCATGTGTAGAGTGAACTCTGCTACATGGACCAACTTCAAGGAAAAGTGTGGAAAGCACTGTAGGGAATGAGAAGCTGGCCTCCACTTGTCTCATCCATAACTTTTTTTTGGTGTGTATATGTGGGATTGGCTGGGATTGGGTGCAGTGATGCCTTGGGTAGGATGGTTTTTAACATGAAAGCTTCTTTGGCCTCAGTCTTATCTGTAAAGTTAGTGGCCTGAACCCCACCTCTCATGACCCCTGCAGCCCCCTAATGGAGCTGATTTATTGAGGCTAATTGCTTTGCCTGCAGGGGAGAAAATTCCCTTTCCAGGCTACTCTGACACAGATATAGACATGGGCTGGGATGGCTGTGTGAGTGAAGCAAACTAGCTCATGACGGGTTGGTGAATGAGGAAAAAAAAATATGTAAAATGAATAACAGTAACAGCAGCTCATACTTCCTATGCTTGTATTATGCATCGGGCTCTATTTTAAGCACTTTTGTGCGGCAGTGCCTTCTAATCATCCATAAGATAGATTTTCTTAGTAAGCGGTGGATGCTAGGGTTTGAATTCAGACTGCCTGACCATATTCCCGTCTTACTACCCTGCCATATAATGTACATCTCATCAGAGTTTCATAAAAATAAATCAGCTGATGTATGAAAGTTCCTATCCCAGCATATGGCACATAGAATACTCTCAATGAACAGCAGCTATTAAATTCTAATTATGATGTCAACACCCATTTGGTCTTGAAGTCTGATTGCATTAGCATTGTGTCTATCCTAGTAACTTCCTAAAACCTTAAGGCATTTTTTCTTAATTAAAAGCTTTTTTGGTGATTCTATATGTAAAACAGATCCATGTGGAGCTTTGCCTTTGAAATACTGATAGGCCCTCATATCTAGTCCTCCTATCACCTCTTGGTCTCAGAACTTTATCAAGGGCCATTGTCACAGGCCCCTTAGCCAAGTGAGAGTGCACTTGAATCCCCAGAATCCCAGCATGCTCTCTGTCAGTGCACGTGACGGCAGATCAAACACACCATACTTTTATGGCCTTCTGTTCATTTCACAACCCTGTATTAAGCAGACTCCAGTATCACAATAATTACCCCTTTATTTTGGGAATGGGAAAGTCATCCAAAAAGTTGATCATTCAACAAAGCACAGCAGTATTAGCAGGGTGCCTTAAAATTCAGGGAGTAGAAAGGCATTTGGAACTATTTGGAGGCTGGAGGACACTGAGAGCAGTTCTCTGCTGTTTGATTTGGTTGCTTTATGGAAAATCATAGGCATACTTTTCAACAATTAAAAAAATAGTGATTCTACTGTTGACTCTTATCTATTTGGACCTGTAGTTCACAGAGAAGCACCTAGAAGGGATCTAGAGTGAAAATAATCAAGAACCACAAGTGAGGTCCACAAGTAGGGTGGATAGGGACAATCTGTTTCAGCCCAGCAGACATTTATTGAGCATCTACTGTGTGCAAGGTCTTGATTAGGCTCTACCCCCATTTGCAGAAAAGAAGGCCATTTTTATAAATAAACACACTGAAACTACATGCCCAGCATGGGGAGATGTTCAGTCATTGCTTGCAGCATTGAATCAAGAGAGGGTACAGGGCAGCACTCACCCCTTCTTGAGTTGGAAGTTTATGTGGAAGAACTTAATCGTGAAACCCACACATAACCATCTGCCTCCCTTGAGTGGAGCAGCTCAAATGAGTACTCCTGGTTTGATTTGGGAGGGAGTTAAGGCCTTTAGGGGTGTGTGGGGGCCATGCTGCAGCCTCAGTGTGTGCTTTCAACCTGGGGGGTGGTGTCCCAAGGAGGGGCATTACCCTGGATCCTTCAGCTATGGTTCCCTTTGCCATGGATGCAACTGGTGTGTCTGTACAGCCTCAGCCTTCAGGAGAAAGGGCACATGGAAAACCAAATTCAAGTGCAGCTCAGTTTAGCTTCAGTATAAAAACTACAGATTTTTGTATAGCTAAAAAGATTCTTTGGAGAGAAAATACTTTTTAAAAAATGTAGGTTGTAGCTTTTTGAGGAGCTACTGCATACAGTTAGATTTTAAAGCTTCGGATGCTGAATATTTCTAAATATTTGGTGGTTTCTTTAATTTCTTGACTTGTGTCTGGTAGCACAGCAAACTTGAAAGAATTATCAACAGAAAATGTTTGGGTTTTTTTGAATGTTACATTTTTTTTAAATTGCAGTAAAATTATACTAATAACACCAAATGTGTTACCATTTCCTTGAGAAAATCATTTTGCTAGTTATTTCAGTTTGCTTAAAATATTTCTGTATCATAATATCTGAGAGTATCTGTGGACACAGGGCTACAGAAAGGGCCAGAGATGTGAGCCCACAAGCTACGTGAGACCGAATGAAAAGATTTTTACAACTTTGAAAACATTCATTATCATTTCCACTTGTGAGTCCAAATCCTACTGCTTTCATAACTTATCAAGAACACTGACGGACAGCTAGCGCTTGTGGAATGCTTTCTAAGTGCCAGGCATGCCATAAGGTGTGGTGCTTTACTTGCATCATTGTCTCTAACTTAAAGAAGGAAATATTAGAAGGGCCCCAAAAATATGACTGCAATCCCTGACCAGACAACGTAGGCCAGCCACAGATGGGGGCTGTTGGTGCGGGTGCCAGGCAGTGAGGTGGACCCCGAGCTACAGCTGTCGTTTGGCCTTGGCTGGAGACTGGACTACGCTGCGGTTGATGGTCAGCACGGTTAGTTAGGATCTGATTCGCTTTATGTGAGACGCATGAGGACTGCTTGCTGCCTGACCAGAAGAAAGACTGGACTTTGAATGTGCTTCTAGGAAACATTCCTCATCTATTCTTTCATCCTCTGCAGTTCCTCCTTTTCTCAGCCCCCATAACCCAATAGAAACCAAGCGCTTCATCCTCTAAATCCCTAGATGCCTTGACTTTATTACAAGTCATTCTGGGACCTTGAAGAAATTAATTGCTCTGTCCCTTGGTTGGCTCACCTGAGAAATGGGGATCATAAAGGCACCCATGTCTTGGAGCTGTTGTGAAGATTAAATGGGATGACATGTGGTCAGCACTAGCTGTCCCTCTGGGGGTCTGGGTTCATCGGTTATGCCTGTTCTGAGCGTCTGACAGTGGAGAAGCCTGGACTCTACTTTCCCTGTCCATGTCACTCACACACTTGCTTTGTGTTAGCTACTCATGGCTCATGACCGCTAATCCCATGTCAGCCTCAAAGGAATGAGAAGAAGCCAAAACAGTTTTCAGTTACACAGTTTGGGAGCAACACTGCTATTGACTGTGAGAACAATAGCCCAGCAAGACGGCTGTGCTAGTGGGTGTTAGGAAATCTCTGCCCTGAAAGATCTTTAAAAACAAACTGGACACAGCTCTATCAAGAGCAGTCTCATATTTAAAAATTGTTCTAAAAAGGGGTCAGGAACAGATGATATTGGGGAGGGGGGTTTTCTTCAAGGTTCTCTTCTGTCACCTTAACTGAAACATCAAGGGCACACACACCCCAGTATCGAATTCACTTCTGTTCTCTGCCATCTGCATTCCCCCCACCCCCCTCACTTATGGGGGGGAACCTTGACCCTTTAAAAAAATGTTCGTCAGACTATGTTACTGACATATAAGGTGCAAAAGGGAGCGGAGAGGCTGCACCCCTGGCCCATTACCATCTGTCTGGTAGTTGAGTGCCACGAGCTGTATCCCATGGAGCCAGAACATGAGGGGGTTGGGGTTGGAGGAGTCGATCCGGGTGGCGGCCGGGTAGGCCCTCAGCAGCTGGCAGGCGGTGTGCTGGATCAGTTTCTGAGAATACCTGCGACACAGACGTTTGGCGGCATTTTCATTCAGCGATGAGATATGGTAACATTTGGGAGTTCTAATGATAGCGCTGAGGGATGTGGTTGGGTTGAGGGGGGAAGAAGATTCCTCCCAGGCCTGTCGCATTCCTTCACAGGAACCTAAACCCCCCAAAAGAGTAGCCTCAGATTAGTGCAGAAAACTAAATATTTTAGAAAGATAAACCCGAACAACATCCCAGTACACAATCATAACACATGGCTTGCTCCTCAGAGGATGCCTGGAGAGTTAGTCCTCCACCTTGAAACAAAATGATAGCTACTGAGTTGTAAAATGAGTGGAGTAACATTGATATGAGTGGAATGTGTCCAAGTCCCCTGCAGCACTTCACCTGGCCTGTGCCTGTATTTTCATAAACATACAACAGCATATGTACAAGGGGGTTCATTCTAGCAGGTTTTTTTTTTAAGATTTATTTATGCATACAAGAGCTGGGGTAAAGGCCAGAGTTGTGGGGCGTGGGGGTGAGAGGATCCACCAGAGACAGAGAGGGGAACAGAACAGGCAGATCTACTGAAATACACTACTGAGGGGAGCAGTGGGAGAAACAGGAGAGGTCTGCTGTGCCATATGCGTCACCTCCCTGGCCGGGGATTGAACTTGTGCTGCAGTGGCTGTGGTTAGCTTCATAGTGCTGTGTCTTAACCCCTTGTGCCACCAGGGAGGCCCTCTAGCAGTTATTTTATAGCAAAAACAAAAAGTGCCAAAAATTTCCAGAAGCAACCCAAATGTTCTACCCAGTTAGCAAACAGTTAAATGAATGACAGCGTATCCATACAATGGTGTGTCCCAGAGGCATTCAGAAGAATAAGGGGATGTGTGAACAGAAAGCTATGGGAAAAGTTACAGCAAGTTATACAAGTGTGTTCAGTTTTACCCCATTTGGATTACCTTAAAAAGGATCTTATTTTTCTGAAACAAAACATAATAAATTTAATAGTGGTTACCTCTGGAGAGTTGGACTGGGACACTGAGAGTGGAAAGGAATTTTAATAATACTCTGTATTATTTGAGTTTTTAACTATGAGAATTTATTACTTTTATAATAAAAAGTAATTAAGGATAAAATGGATATATCTTCCTGAGTTATAACGGTGAAGAGGGAGGTTCCAAGAACCACTAGCATGTTCCAGGTGGCTCCAGTTTTTACTTTTGAGGCAAACACTGCTAGGACATCTTCAGTGAAGTGCTACATTTTTTAGAAGTTGAAAGGATACTATACCTAGGTAATACAAACATTCATGAAAATAAAAATAATTTAAAAGTTCAAGGCATATGCTTAGAGAGTAAAATATCGGAATCATCCCATGTGCAGAATCAACAAAGATATTGTCAGAAGGTAACTTTACTTTTTCCAGATGTTTTGTTAAACGGTGCTGTCTCCCCTGGGCTCATTCTGCCCGGATTGTTGCCAAAAATGGACTTCCTGCTTTTCCTTTCTTTTCCTCTGTTAGAGCCAGATGCATTTAGAGTTGACAGGCCTGTTCCCATAAAATAAAAATAAATAAGCCAAAAACTACAAGCAAGAGAACTCAACATTTTCCATCCCTTTTAATGTTTATTTTAAAGTCCTACTACTCCCACGCAACCTAGTACAGAAGATCTACTAGCATTTCAGCACCTTTAATAATAGTATTGTAGGCACTGATAGCCAAGTTCCTCTGTCTGTAGGCTAATATGACAAGAACTGCATGACTATTACAGAGCGACCATGGAATCACATGTACCTGCTTAATTGTGCACTGGAAGGACACTGAAAAACTGCAAGAAAAGAAAGTGCTGCAGCCAGCATTTAATTATCAGGGCCTAAATACTCAATTCAGGGAGATGAAAGAATGGATAGGGGCCTGAGATGGAATGTTACATTGTTTAGGTTCAGTTCGGCCATCTACCTTCTCCATTCCTCGGTTCCCTTATCTACAAAATGGATGTGATTATGGGAACTCAAGGGTTATCCGAGGATTAAATGGAAAATGTATGATGATGAGCATGATAGAGAGAGCATGGCTTCTCTTTCTCACTCCTGGTTCAGTCATTACCTGGAACCTTCCTGCCTGGCACAGTGCCCGGGGCAGAGTGGGAACTTAAGAGATACTTGCTGAATGAGGAAACAAATGCACATGACCAAGATCCAGCTCCAGCGCAGGAGTGATTTAAAGGCACCAGCTGAAGCCAGAGTTGCCTCCAAATTGTTCCCACTGTCTACAATCGCCAGTGCCATTACAGGGTAATTCCTTCAGCTGAAGCAGCATTCAGGAAGTCCCTTTGAGGGGAAAATACACCTTCCAAGAACATCATCAGAGAAGATAGGATGATGTAATAGAATGTAGATGTTAGGGTTGAAAACTGTTCCTATCAATCTATCAATCAACCATCTATCATTTACCATGTTTTGGTAGGGAAAGCGCTCAGTCCATAGCAGCTGTGGGGTTTTGAAATTTTCTCTGGAGTATCCACAACCACAAAGTTGTACAGTACTGGACTACTGAGTTTCTATGCTTCATCTAAATATTTTATATGAATATTTCTCTACAAATTGATGTAACAATGGATTTTCTCCTACGCAAAACTGATGGAGGGATGTGTTCATTTGGGGGCTTGGCGCACAACATGATGTCTGTAGATAGCCTGGGGTACATGGGCCCCTCTGTGCAGAGCCTGGTTGGGGGAGGAAGCAAGACCACCAGGGCTGTGTGGCCTAGAAATGGGAAGGCTCTGGATTGTGGGAAAGGTCCAGAGAAGTAACTGAAATGTAACTGAAAAGGAAGAAACTTCAATTAGTGAAACAACCTTCCCCTGCCCTATTGGCACACTTACTGGTGACGATAATCACTGTCTCCAGAGAATCAACTTCTTTCTAGATAGTGTGTGTAGGGTAAGGGAAAAATGTCAGGCTTTTCTGCCCTCCCGCCATCAGGATAGATGATGGATCCCTGCAGTCCTGAATGCATGCCTGATAGTGGGCACCTGGAGTAGGGTGTGGGCATAGGTAGATGGGATTCACCTGGGCTAAGACTGTGCTTTATTGAGGGCGGCGTCACAGGGACGCCAGCAGAAGCTGAGAAGAAGCCAAGAAGCAACAGAAGCCGAGAGAGAAGCAAGAGAAGAAGAAGCTGAGAGAAGGCTGGAGAGCCCAGAGTGAAGACCTGCTGGGGGCTGGGAGGCCTTCCAGCCTACCGGCCCCCCAGCGCCCCTGCCTGCCGTGTACCTGGTAAACCCCAATAAAAACCTGCAAAAAGCCACTGAGGGCTCTGACTCCTCCTTTAGCCGGTCTGCGGGATCATAGAAAATCTGCCCAGTGTCCAGTCCTGCCACTACAGTGTGTTAATCGTATTATATATTTGCTGAATTTTACAGTCCTGCAAGTTAGCACTGATATGTCTCCTTATAGATAAGGAATCCAAGTGCAGAGGAGTTACATCAGTGTCCTACTCAAGGTCACTGAGGAGCTGAGCCCTGTACTGAGGTAGGTTCATGACTTTGGAGAAATTATTTTACTTCTGGGGAAGGTGGTACCACATGATCTTCATGGTGCCTCCCAATTCTTAAGAATTTTTGTATATGGTTCCTTGGAAAGGATTTGGAATGGGGAAGGATGAGATGCATTGAAATTGATAAAGTAGCAAAATTAAAATTGCTAGTGTAGCAAAATGAACATTTTATGGTATTTTCCTCATGAGCATCAGACAAGTCATAATAACAATATATCTTTAGATGATATTATAACAGTGATTTTGGCTATGCAATTTAATTATTTTGAAAGAGAAATAAATTAAAATATAGTATACCTATAAAGAATGTATGCAACATAAGCACTTTAAAAAACATACTTGGCATTTTAAAAATAAGCCAAATAACCTATGCTTAGTCTTTGCCTCAAGTCAGAAGCCAGACTAAAAGACCTCTTGTCTCTTTCACAATTCTTATTAATACAGAAACTTTATCTTTCACATTGACTTTAACTATTTTGGAGGATCTCTATTTTTTTTTTTAAGATTTATTTTATTTATGCATACAAGAACTGGGGTCTAGGCCAGAGGTGCAGGGGGTGAGAGGATTCACCAGAGACAGAGTGGGGAGCAGAACAGGCGGATCTACTGAAATACACTGCTGAGGGGAGCAGCGGGTGACACAGGAGAAGTCTACTGCACCATGTGGGTCAGCTCCCTGGCTGGGGATCAAACTCATGCCACAGTGGCTGGAGATAGCTTGACAGCACTAAGACTTTAACCCCTGCATACCAGGGAGACCCAGGATCTGTGTTTTTATTGATTTAGTGTTTGAGAAGGAAAGACATGCTAGTGGGATGATTTCGGTGTAGTACTGGCTGTATTTATAAAGAACAAGAGATGCAGACAGCATGGTTCCTGGTCAGAGTGGTCCTCACACGTGATGGAGGCTACATAGCCCTGAGACTCTTTGACAGGCTAAGGGTTTTAGCCCATCCTACAATTTCACCAGCTCAAATATGTTTATATTGTACTTAAGTGACAGAAAGTTGCACCATCTGTGAAAGTCAACCTATATGACTAGGTTCTTGTATTTCTTTGAAATCTTCACTTATTCAGTCATATTCTCAATAGAATTTTCTAGCCATGTTGCTGCCAAAAGTTTAAGTTTAGGGGAGAAAACAAAATCAGGTTGTATTAGCCAGTTGTACCATCTTGAGATCACAAAGGGAATGGGGGGCCAACACAGTGGAAGGAGAGTGAAAAATGGGGAGAAAGTCCTGGATCAAGCTATACCTGAAACTTGTGAATCCCTTCGTTTCAATACATGAGCTAATAAAGTTCCTCTTTGCTAACGTCAATGTCTGTTACTTTGAAACAAGAGTCTTAACTGATACACTCTGAAACTTAGGCAGATTACTTCATCTCTCTCACTTTGTTTTATTTAAAAGTGGGGATAAATCCACTTACTTCATACAATAATTATGAGGATAATAACACATGTAAAATAGCACAAGTACTGGTAGTTAAGAGCTTAATAAATTTTAGCTATTAGATAATATCACTATTATGAAAATACATAATGTGATCTGGAAACTGAACAATTTATGATGCTTTCCTCATGAACATCAAAGCTAATAATAATAGTAATAAATATTTAGAAGACATTTTAACAATGAGCTCAGTAACAACTTAATTGCTTTGAAAGCATTCACAATGCTCAATTAAATAGCACATTTTTATCTTTTGGTGTCCTTAAATGTTATAGATGATATTGATTACTCTTACCTGGAAATTTCACTGCTTGGCAATAAATGACAAGGTCAGAAAGCTCTGGTGCAATCTGTCTGCTTTCCTTTTTATTCTGTGGAAGATAAAATTCTTCTCCCAATTCCATGTCATAAACCTATGAAGGGAAAAATGAGGCCATTTCACATGGCAGGTATAAGCCTGCCATGAGTCCCCAAAGCTCTGAGTCCCCAAAGCTCTTTATCACCAGTGTGCTTCACTGAGTCCCCAAAGCTCTTTATCACCAGTGTGCTTCACCTTCCTCTGCATTTATCCACATGCACACCCTAGAATCTTTCCTAAAGTTTTTTGAGTGCAAAGGATGCATCTAATTCATCCTTCACCTCTCATCGGGGCCTAGTCCAGTGTCTTAGATGTGGAATGGTCAATGTACATTTGCTGAATAACAGATGATTACGTATGTATCTTCGGTGGCTCAAAGTTGTGACATATTTTATTATTCTTTTCTCCAATAATGTCACTGAGACTATGTTTACAGATTTTCTCAGGGTCTGTAGACTGTGAGGCACTGGAGGGGAGTCTGGATGTCTCCTTTATCTTTTTATTGCCCTTCCTCTGTCACAATCTAGCCCTTGTTTATATTTTGGTTATCCCAAATGCCTTGACAACCTTTCATAATTCTGTGAAAGTGCCAGGCTATCCTGTTGGCTTGAATGCCCTGTTTTTGTCTGCCTGGTCAAATCTTCCTTTTCCAACATTATCATCCCTGATCCTCTGATAACACTGTGTAGTCACTGCTAATTGTACTGATGTGGAAGCACTGTCCACATGTTCACTTCCACCATCAAATTACCTCCTGTGCCCCTCAATGCCTGTTACACATGCACCTTCAGTGGAAACTGGCAGGAGAGAAGTCCAGCATTGAGCCCCCATGCACCTTCAGTGGCTAATGGTTGGATGAATCTGTGACTAACCTTCTATAGGAGGCAGGTGGGTGTCCCATAGCATCACCATGTGGGCTTTGACATCTAATGGAAAGTGAGGGGAAAGGTGAAGGGCTGGGACAGGGAGGGAATGAAACCCCACCTGAAACTGAGAAGAGTAGTGCCTTTCAAGTGCCATTAAACAGAAACTGTTCACTCACCTTTCCTTTATTGTAAACAGAAGTATCTGCTTTCTTTATCCTCTTGGGAATTTCTTCATTATACTCAAACTGAAGCTTGTCATTACATGATTTATTTTCAGGTCTGTCTTCTAGAATGTTGTCTGAAAGTGAGTTGGCAGGCTTCAGTGAACAAGAACCAAGTACTTTCTAAGAGCTATATCTACATCATTGCAAGGACATCCAGGGACTTATGCTTGGCTACCAGGCTGAGGCTCCAGCTGCCTGCTAGCAAAATGATGGGTTGAAGTATGATGTTTTTTAAAGTTGTGAAATGATGTGGTTATTTTTATTGAATAGACTCAGTTTCCAGTAGTTTTTGTACTATATAGACATAATCCAAATGAGAAAGGTTCATTTTACACAGCTGATTTGAACTGTGCAAACATTATGGGAAATACCCTGTGTCAAGATTTAGTGGTTGAAGCGTCTAGATGCAAATGCATGTATTAATTAACTCTCACTTTAAAATGAAGTTATTACCTTCTTTTACTTCTAGAAATGTCCAAAACAGAAGAAAAAGGACTGTTATTTCCAGTGCAATGTTTTCACAATTAGAATTAATTGGAAAGTAAAGTTTTCATGAATGCTTATAATTAATTAAGTGAAAATCTTAAGGATAGGAGTTAAAACATATCTAAAATAAAGTATGGCAGGTAACCTTACACTTGGTTATTGTTTTGGCTCTTTTATTCAAAACGCCTGTAAAGGTATTGGATGATTATCATAATTACCATGATCATGTCTCTTTAAAAAAAAACAAGAAAATTCATTTCTCACCCAAGACTTACTATCTCATCAGAACACAAATACTTAGACCAAAATATCCTTATAATAAATCAGGGCCATGCAGGTTGCCAAGAAGTAAAAGACATCAACCATTTTATGATATTTTTATTCATGTACGTCACAAATTCATGCGAGTCAGGCCTAAGAAATTGGAAATAGAATTCTAGTATTCATGCAGTTAAAATGCTCAGTTCAAAAGGCTTTACCTTCCTGACTGTTAGCAGCAGGAGAAGCAGTAAGGATATCTGTTACAGAAAAACAGAATCAGAAAGGAGAAAAGAGTAACGAGAATTAAGACAAAAAGCCAGAAAAATTAAATTAAGGTCTGAAGCAAAACATAAACAACAACAGCTTAGGTTACAAGGTAAATGAAATAAGAACTTTCCACTGATTTAATATTTTGACTAGTATGAGACACGAGGGCTAATAGTAAAAGAAATGCAAATGCTGTGAATGTTAGTCATGCTGCCACATTCCTATTACATATTCTCAGTTCTGATTGAGGTAATACTTCCAATCATATGGAGAGAAATTGATTAACTTGTTAGAATCATGCAGTCACTGTCACAGAACATGCCTAAATTGCAAGTTCTAATGTGTTGCTCCATTGCATGTTTAAAGCCAGTCAAGATAAATAGCAAGGTTGGGGAAAAATTAACCTATATTTATTTAATGAAATTTATTGAAAAAATACTCAATAAGAACTCATTGACCAGGGACTCCCCCGGTGGCGCAGGCGGTTAAGTGCTGCCCTGTGAAGCTGTCCACAGCTTCTGCAGTGCAGGTTAGATCCCAGCTGGTCGGCTGGCGAGGGTCCCACATGACAAGCAGACCTCTCCTGCCTCGCCTGCTGCTCCCCTCAGCAGTGTATTTCATCGGCCTGCCTGTTCTGTTCCCCGCTCTGTCTCTGGTGAATCCTTTCACCCTCCCACACATCTGGCCTGGACCCTACTTCTTGTATAAATGAAGAAATAAATCTTTAAAAAAAAAAAAGAACTCATTGACCAAAAGGTAAGGTAGTAATTAGCCTCATTTGTAACATCATTTACCAATAGATCTTCTGGAAGTAACTTTGTGGCTGGAAATCATTATATTTTTTATAGCCAAATGTGACATTAGACTAATTCTCTTGTTTTATACATATAAAAACTGAGTACTATAATTGTCAGAGATCAACGGGGCAACTGGAAGATAGGTTCTTTTTTTTTTTTTAAAGATTTATTTATTTATGCACACAAGAACTGGGGTACAGGCCAGAGGTGTGGGTGGTGAGAGGATTCACCAGAGACAGAGTAGGGAACAGAACAGGCAGACTGACTGACATACACTGCTGAGTGGAGCAGCGGGCAAGACAGGAGCAGTCTGCTGTGCCATGTGGGTTTCTCCCTGGCCAGGGATCGAACTTGTGCTGCAGTGGCTGTGGGTAGCTTCATAGGTTGTGTCTTAATCCCTTGAGCCACCAGGGAGGCCCCCCCCGGAAGAAAGGTTCTTAACCTGGAATCGCTGTGAGGGCCTCAGAAGACCTGGGAAACTCCTGCAATTGTAAGTAGAATTTTGAGAACCTATCTATTTCTCTGAGGGGACTGGTTACAACTTCCATCTCATTTTCGAAGGGACCCATCAAAACAGGACATTTAAGAAACTTTGAGGTCCTCCTGTCTACTTATAGCAGACAGGTTTCTCTTTTCTCATCTCAGCTGGCAAAAGCAAAGATCACAGAGGAAGGTACAGAGATGGGTGAGGTACCACCAAGCATGACCAACGGTGTAGATGGTAGATGTTCATGCTAGAAGGGAAAACATCAGCCAACATAACAGAGACTTTTCATTACACATCGAGGGACCTACGGCTAGAGTGCTGAAAGGATCATACTCAAGGCGTCTTCATCCATTGGAGCAGAATCTGGTGGGGCCCCTTTCCAATATACCCCACTCCAGTCTATGTGGATTTTAAAAAAGCAGGCAAGTATCTTAGAAATTCAGTGGGGTGGGATTTAAATTTCACTCTCCTAATTAAAAACCAGAAAGCTCCTCTTCATTTAGTTTTGCACATCAAAGACATCAAAAATTAGTATTAATAATAATTCTAAAAATGAAGAAAAAAACTCACCTTTCCTGTTCTCAAAGGTACAGAAAAAAAAAAAAGAGTAATTTAGGATAGTGAATTTACCTTCAGTGGACTAACTTCTTACAGGGCAAATAACATCTGGATTGGTTGATTTCTCAAGTGAGCTTTCCATTCCTTATCTGAACAAATTTGTCTATGAGATGAAGTCACCATGATTGTATCAAATCCATGGGGAAGAATAAATCAACATAAAATATTCATAGTCTCACAACTCAAGGAATAGGATATAAGAAATTATTTTGACTTTTGATTTTTCTCTCTTCCTACCTCTCCATTAGAGAATAGGCCCTGATGGGATTTCAGGTCAATTAAACTGGCTTTCAGTGGATGACATGAAGCAATCAATTACTACTAAGGATGACTATTAAGGGACATAGACTAGTAGCATCATTGTGGGGCAGAAATACACTGGACCATAACTGCTGGCCATGATGGAGGCTCAAGGAAACAAACAGGACCAGTGGACAATCCTGCAGTGTGTGCAGCAGGTATTTGGGGAAGTGGCTTGGCTGGCTTGATGCCAGTGGGAAATGGTTGCTGGTCTGGGCATATCTGTTTATTGCCAAAACAATTATCCTACATCGAAGCAATGTATTATATATTTAATGTTTATGTAAATACTTTGCCATTTTTTTCATTACTACACTGCTGTTTTCCAGGAATCTATGCAACAGTCTATCATCAGCAGTGGCTCCTGAGGAAACATTTCACAGTCATTGAGTGCAAAAGAAACATCTGAAACCTAATTCTCACAGGAAGAATCCTTCCCCTATAGATAACATCATTCAGGTGACTTTTGGTATCGTATCATGAGCCATCTCTAATGTTTTATCCCTTTAGAGTGGTCAGAAGGAAATGTTGTGATGATTTTGTAATGTGAGAGCCAGGGAAGGTGGGAAGGGATAGGACGCTGCTTTCTTTCTGACACTCCTGGAAAGCAGGAGCAGAGCACAGAGCCATGATGCTGCCTCCTGTTTGTAGTGCAGACAGAAAAGATTTAGCCACAGTCTCTGATTCCTATCAAGAGCATCAGTCACGACAGAGACAGAAAGGCTGAGGATGGAGTCCCTTTGCTGTAATTCTACCTGTCTCTGGAAACCCACATAGGAATGACCCCAGTGTTGCTTCCCCCGTCTTCTTTCTTTGCGTGATGGCAGCGTGGCTAACAGAATTCCTCTTTTTGCTAAGTGACAGGGTTCAGAAACTCTTAGATAACATTACAATAATTTGTATTATTGGTTTATGAAGTGCCAGACTTATTTTCTGGGAGAAAAAAAGACATACACGCACAATACCAAACCCATCAGAAAATCATCCAGGCATTTCCCTATGTACAGCCTTGGTTTTTGTTTCTCTTACCATCAGAGAGGGATTCATAATCATAATCATATTCATCCTCTTCATCTTCCTCTTCCTCATTATTAGCAGGTGCAGAAGTGGCATTTCCACCATAATAAGCCTGAGCTTGCATGGATGCTAACTGATGAGCCTGCAAGATATTAATAATTAAAGTTACTGAACTTTCATTTGTAGTTTCCATTTATAGTTTCCAAAGTTAATACCACAGTCATTAACAGTGCTTAATGTGCTTTGATTCTTTTGACAAAGGAAACAAAAATCTAGATTCACTTAAAGTGCAATATTAATACTTGGGTAAATACTAATATCTCTACAGAAGGAATCCTGAGGATTTTGGAAACAATTACAAGGAATCCTTGTGTGGGGACCATTCACAGACATGCAGGAGAAAACTTGATGATGGTTTCCAAGAGGATGAAGAAGTGAATCAGCCCATCAGTTTTGGAAAAGTAAATCTCTGCTAAGAAATAATTTTTCCCCTTCTTAAAATAATATCTAAATATTTGACCTTGAGAAAAAATGTTGGGGTCCCTATGGACAAAGAGACCAAAAGAATAGTTGTTGGCTTAAATAAAACTTCTTCACAGACTTTATCTAAACCATCAATTAGATAAACAAAACAGGCTAGAAACTTGATGTGCGCTGCCAGGGAGGTCGTGTGCCTCTCAGTGGACCAGAATTACTGTGAGGTGATATCACAGGACTCAAAGTTAGTAAAAGTGAGCATGCATTCTTTTTTCCATCTAGTTTCACGAACCCTCCTGAATTCTGTCTGTGGATATTACCAAGGTTAATTTACCTTTGTAACACAGGTTATGTTTGGCTTTGGAATTAGGCATGTTTTAAGAAATGTTCTAAACCCTACATTTCCTTTATAATAAACATGTACACTCAAGGAAGATACAATTTAGCCTGTCTACATACAGTCTACATACAGATAAAATATTTTACTATGCAGTACATGCTAGATATCTGACATTGTTCAGGCTGGGATTTCTCTAGTGGGTTTTAGGGTACACGAGCTCAATGGGTGTTAATAGCGATGATGTAAAAACTGACAATTAACAGTAGCTACGAAACCACAATGGAAGTCTGAAACAGCAGCCTGAACGACTGAGACTCGTTCCTGCTATAGGGTTTCACACTGCCTTCATCTAACATGCTAAAGTGCATTCCTCAAAGATCTCCAGTGCAGCATTTCCCAGGCTTATTTAACCAGGTAATTTTTTTTTCTTTTCTCAGCATGTCTCATAGGATTAGTGTTCTTCAAAATTTTGGGGAATTTGCTCTAGGCAAAAGCAGGTAAGTCTATTTATCATGGATAAAAGAAGGGCCTTTATACAGTATGCATTCAAGGTAGAGCCATGGGCTGGGAATGGCGGTGCAAAGGGCCTGGTAGAAAGTGTCAGACTGTATGAGATCCCTGCAAAGACCCATGGACCAGCAGTGTCAGAAAGAGTAGCAAGTCCCTTAAATGCTTAAATATTTCCATCAGTGCAGAATTACATGAAGGGTGGCCAAATAGGCAGCTAGGTACTGACCTCCTTATTCTCTGCAATATCCAATTTATTCTAAGGCAGAAAAATATGACCCCACTCGTGGAACAAAGGCAATTCAGATATGGGTAAGTTCCCTCCTAAATAGTTTAGGCAGTGTCATTCTGTGGAATAAGTAAGAACAACCTGACTTATGGACACAGTGGTCCTGGGCTTTTACTTTCTCAGGGATCGTTGGGTTGAAGGCCTTCCCGAACAGGCAGGTTTGTGATGCTTGGGGCATAGATCTCCATGGGTGAGGTGGGTGTAGGAGTGTCTCAGGGTTCACAAGCCACAGTAGTACACTGTGTCAGCTCCCATGCTGGCTCCACAGGGTTGCTGCTGTCTGAGTCCCATTACTGACTTCAGGAGTCACAGCCTCATATCCAAGGGTGATCCCTTATGGGGGCTCTTTCTCAAGGAACAGTGGAATCCGTAAATTTGAAGCCAAGTCCAGAGACAAGGTTACATACTATCCTGCTCAGAATTAATTATCAGAGGTACATTCTCCATGGGAAATGAATTTCACAGAACAAAATTTTTGGTAAGTGGGATGAGACTATTTATTGGTCCATTAAATGGAAAGCCAACACCAGAGGGGGAAAATGAGGGTGAGAAGCAAAGTGGGGAGAGGACCTAATGGGCTGTGGTGGAGGATGTTGGGTGCTTTGGTGGTGGGTGGGTGTGGTGTGGTAAGATATATCTGAAGAGGTATAAACTCATACCCCTGAATCATACGTACTCTAGTAAACCAATGTTCTCTCAATAAAAAATAATACAAGGAAAAAGAAAGGTAACAAAAAATAATACTTGAATAAAGAACAAGATTCTAGGACCTTCTGGGTTCATGAACACACAGATGTTCTTGTGGGGGCCTGCTCATCCCAAGGAGATGCAGAATCTCTCTACCCACTAAACCCCACCCATATCTACCCACGTTGCCCTCTGCGTGTCTTTCCTTTGGCTTTTACTGAGTTATATCCCTTATAACAAGCTGATAATGTAAGTAAAGTAAAAAAAAAATTCTTTATAAAAAAGAAGAAAAGTCAAAAATTAAATGTATCATTCAAGGAAATGCAATCTTTAAAAACTGGTTAGCCAGCAGGTCACCTGACAAATTAGAACAACATTAATTTCTTTGTTCTGGGCATGCAGCACACACACAACCACCTAAACAAGGAGAGTACCTTCTGCTTTAAGATATCTACTGGCGTCTGATGGGCTTTTAGCTTCTTATTTTTAAGAAGCACTTTCCTCCTGAGTTGGTCAGGTGAAGGAAGCATTGGGTCATCTGAGAAATCACTCTCAAATAAAAATTTAGCAACCAGTTTTTCTCCAAACACAGTCTAAAAAGAACAAAGGAAAACATATAATCAATGCCTTTTACTTATACTTAAATTATTCAACTAGACATCTCAGCACAATTGAATTATTCTAAAAATCCAAGGAAGTGGATTTAGGAAAGTTGTGTCCTCTCCCTCCAGAAGCCGCCGCCGCAGTTTCCTTCTGGAAGGGAGGGAGGTGTTTAGAAGGACAGGAGAGAGGTGCAGCCATTGTGCACATGGGCCCAGCTCTAACCATGTAGGGAGGCACTCTGGGGTCTGATGTACTAAAGAAAACAGAGATTCAGTTAGAGGCCACTGTTTGTGGGATGTTGTCTTTTCCTGATGTGGATAAGAAGTCAAAAGATTGGAAATTTTGAATAAGTAGGGGGTGGGGACAAAGATGTAAGATACGAGGGAGCATCTGTCTCCATTTAGTAAACCGCAGACCCCACCCTCACAGGGATTTTTCTGAGCATTGGTCTCCAGAGTGAGATGAGTGTCCTTCAAGGAGGTGGGTGGTGGGGGTGGGCACAGGATGACCCAGTGGGGTGAGGGCAGAAATTAGGGCAATTTCTATTTCTAGTTGTTTTTTAATTAGAGAAGCTTACTAATTTAAAAGTACAGACTGAAAACTGCGGCCTCCCTGGTTTATATGCCAGGTGCATGAAGGAAGTCCCTGAGGCACAAGGGGGATCCCCCAATAGTGGTTTGCCTTAAGTTCACTGAGACATGTGTGGTTTGGGTGTGGTTAGCTTCACAAAAAAAGAAAACTTTTCTTCAAAGTATTTTATAATTTGGTGAAAAATGACTATGAAAATCTTTTATACCACATAAGATTCCACACTATATTATGAAGCCGCAAGTAAGAAGTCTTCTTGTTATGCTTTTTTTTTTTTTTTTTTTTTTAAAAAAAGAGTACCCTGAAAGTTCTGGCTTTTTTTATGCTCACAGTGTATGGCGGTACTTAATGTTGTTACTACAGAGCAATAATGGTAATAATAATCATCTCACATTTTATGTGTTAACATAAAAGTTCTGATAAATGCACACTCAAGAAACCTGGATGTTTATTTTCTGATGGTTAAAAAATCTTACAAATGCAGGGTATTAGTGGAGTTTGAACTCATTTGTTAAAAATATCAAAGATCACTTTTCAACAAGAAAAACTAATTGATACCAGGAAGCACCCCGAATAGTCTAGCCAAATTTCAACAAAAACCGTAATACCATTCATGGCATTGAGACGTGAGTACTATGATGTGACAAGTACAGCAAACAGCCTTTTCCCATCTGGATACATGTGTCTTTATAAGGGGTCCTTATCAGGTTATGTAGCTTAAAACCACATACTGAAAAAATAAAACTTAAAACCCCCGGAGAGCCATATTTCTGCAAATACCTCCAGCTCTGAAGGAAGGTAAATGTAGAATGTACATCTGCCCTCAATCTGTCTGCACCATCATTCCCTTGTATAAAGAGGGGCAGAGTGTTAACACAGAAACTGTCAGGTCAAGCTCTTTGCCAACTTGGTTCTGTGTATATACAGCATGGGTCACAGGAGATTCGATTTATTATCCCCTGAGATATTTTCAGCTTTTCCATATACAACTAACAGGTCATCCTGGCATCCATGATTTCAGAAACAGAAGCATTGCTCTTATCTCCTAAGGCTTCCTGGAAAGGGTCAGAAGACCACAGAACAATGCTTCTGTCACCCCAGCTGAACTGTTCAAGAGGGAGTTCAAGCTCCCAGGGCACCCCCACTTATCAGATCTGAAGGACCCTAACTGTACGTGCTTGAGGGCTGAGCTTCAGCTGTGGTGTGATCCATGGGGGCCCAAATAAAAGTCAACAACAGTTGCAAGCAAATACCATTCTGCTACTTAGCTCAAAGTTTACCTTGAAAATTTCTGCCATTTTTCGTTGCTGAGGCAGCGAACAGTGGTTCTCAATGGATATGATGATTGGCAGGTCAGAGTTGATGAAGGCACTGCGATCTATGGCTTCTACCACCTCCTACAAGAGCCAAAACAGCTCATTAGAGCCCACATATCTGCCCAGGGTGACATAAGACAAGGAACTTATAGCCAAGCATCTAAATTGTTGTGTGCAGAAGACGCTGGCCAAAGGTGATTTTTATCTGTTCAAATACATTTTCAAATGAAGCCCAAGATAATGCTACTTTATATAAAGAAATTAAACTTTTCATATTGAGTTTTGTCTATATACTATAAGAAACAGCTATGAGCATGCTGAATTTAACAACTCAATGTGCACACACATGTACATGCTTACATATTTATGTATATATATATTGAATATACTGTAGGTTAAAACTTTAGTTATAGCATCAAAATAATATGTAAGATATTTTCTGAATATAAGAAGTTTATAATCTACTTGGGACAATAAAACATATATTTGTGTGTTTATAAAAACAGTTATCAACTCCTCCCTTTAATACAAAGCACAAGAGTTTTAAAAGGGCTAAACAGGAAAATGAGCTAGAGAGAAAAACACATTTTAGCCATTATCACCACAGATAACATGGAAATAATATTCCTTCCCAGCCCAGGCACAATTCAGAGAAAAATGATGGCATACAACCCAAAATCCTCTGAATGAGTATAGTAATTGCACAGTGAACTAATGAACTACTTAGAATTTGAATCAATAATCCAATCAGACCAGTATTCTATTCTATATTTCACCAATATTCTTAGGTGAAATCAATTATCATTATTTTATAATGTCAATTATTTAATTTCCTAAAAAATGTTGGCCTTTTTAAGCAGGACACCAGAACAAATGACCTTTAATTCCTATAGCTTTAATACACCCATGAGCTTTAATAGCCCCTGCCTTTTATAGACCATTTTATGATCTAAAAGTTGCAACAATATTATTAAGTGATAACTAATTTAAGATAATGGTTATTAAATTTTGGTTGAGCGAGAATCTAATGAGAGTTCTAGATCAGAACTTTCTAGATCAGAACCCCCACCTTAAAATGCAATTAGGTAGAATCTTTAAGTGATGAATGAAGATAATGGCTCTATGTGAATTAAAGAAAGTCAGGAAGCATTACCTTGAAGGGGATCTTAGTTGTCAGTGTGTGTCCATGATAAATGATGGGCATCCCATCATCACCATCCCAGCAGTCCAACTCTACGCTCCTACAGCCTTGCAGCAGGACCTGTGTGGGCAGTGAATGGACCCACCCCAGTTGAGCAAATGTAGATAAAACCTTAGATTAAATCTAGCCCTGCTTCTGCCTCTTTAATATGTTCACATATCAAAGTGGACATGACATAAATGGCTAGAAAGGAAACAGGGATGGAAATTCCAGGTGAGAACAGAACTTTTTCTCACTTTTCATCTGCCCCACAGAGCAATGTTAGAAGGTAACTGAAAGGGCAGGGAAGAGTGGGTAGAAATGAAGTGAAGGGGTCTCATAATAAGGTTAATTTTGTCTGTGAGTCTTTGGTGGGGCTGTGTCTTATTCAAAGCCTGTGATGACCTTGACTTGACGTGTAATGCCAAAGAGTTAAGAAAAACTTGGAAGTCAAAAAAGGAAGTGAAGTAGGGAACTGGCCCTTGTTGTTTCCTAGGAGAAACAGACACAGGTACACACACACACACACACACACACACACACACACATACACACACTTTTTTTTTTTTACCCTTTATCTCTTTCCGCTGGAACAATGAATCTGAAACTTCTTTTAACGTTAGAGCACAGTGCAGATGGAGGGCCAGCACTTACAGAGCAGAAAGGAGCAGTACTTCAGCTGCAGTGGGGGCAGGGCTGGGACCTTTCCTACTCTACAGGTTTCTTATCACAGAGTCAGCAGCTGATGCCCCATGGCAGACTGCTATTTTGAAAATCACTACTTTAAGGACACACTTTAATTTCATAATAATAGTCACTTAGTTAGATTTTAGTGTTTACAATACATATTCATATTAGATAAGATTTGGGGCAGAAATCTGAACCCTCCTTTGAGGAATATCTAGATTAATTTGGAAAACAAAGGAATCTCAAGCCTGCTGGGTTTGTGTAAATAATACAATTATAATTTTCCCACTTGGAACTTTCCCATATGTGAACATATACACATACATACATACAACCACACACTTATATCTCCAAGACCTAGCCCAGCTCCTTCCTGGTAACTCTTCTTGTAGGCATTCATAGAACCAGCAGCAGAGACGAGGAAGTGGCAGAAAATAAAGAAGAGGCAACTGACATGGAGATTATTGAGAGCTCGATGTTTAGGTTAAAAGAATGTGCTTCTTCTAGTCCACAGAATCTACTGAATTTCAAAGAACATTCCCATGAATTTAAGTGTGTAGGGACAGTGCCTATGGTCTGTGCAAAATTTTTTTTTGTTATGTCGGTTACCATAGGGATGGATTGATTGTCTAACAAATTGCAAAGCAAAACAAAAATATTTTGGGAATAACTTCGTAGTAAGTTGCATTTTCTACCATGGTTTCCCACTACAATATATTGATTTATTTAGCATTTAGGGAAACGATTAGATAATTTTCCCATGGGAAAATCTAATTTTAGTTGGAGTAGGTCAGACTAGGATCTAAAAGCTATGAGTCTCAAAAAAATGCTTTCTTTTTTTTTTTTTTGCCTGGAATAAAAGTTAAGTATAGATAGAGGGAAAAAAAGAAAACAAAAGAAGAAAACAACTGTGCATATAGGCAGTTTTCCTATATACTGTTCCTCACACTTCACATGTAATAGTTTATAAATTCTTCAAAGGACTCTGAGGTCAGGATTTTGTGACTTTGGGGGTTATGTAAATAGGTTTAATGACGTCCAGATTCCAAGTGGAATTCTCTGTACCTGGCTGTAGAGTTCTACTGAGGATTCTCCTTTGAGCTGATGGCCTGTGAGGTAGGTGTTGTGTGAAGATGCTATGTAATAGTAGGAGAGGGGCAGCTGCAACTCCTTAGTGCTCTCCTGTGACTCATCATTTTTCGAGGCAAAATTATCTTTATCCATCAGAAACCTAGAGGAAACAAATTTTCTTAAGACCACATTGGGAGGGCCTCCCTGGTGGCCTAGGGGTTAAGTCTCAATACTATCACTGAAGTGGCCTGAGTTCAATCCCCAGTCAGGGAGCTAACCCACATATGGCGCAGCAAACATCTCTTGTCTCACCCCCTGCTCCCCTAAGCAGTGTATTTCAGTAAATCCGCCTGTTCTGCTCCCAGCTCTGTCTCTGGTGAATCTCATCGCCCCCGTACATCTGGCCTGCACTCCAGTTCTTCTATGCATAAAATAAATAAATCTTTTTTTTTTTTTAAAAAAGACCATTTTTGGAAAAATATATACTTTTAAGTGATGTGCTAAAACTATTTTAAAAGTTACCTTGCAAATCCTTCAAATGACATGAGGCCCTGGTGACACATACTAACACTAGGCTCGAACTTCTGCAAAGGATACAAAGAGTGTTATTTAGGTAAAGGAAACTAAGGGGAAAAACAACATATCATTTTTAAAAGCTGTTCTTTTTCATCAGGAAACATCTAAACCAAATATTTGAACAAATTTAGCTATGCATTGGTAAGACGTAGCTTTTTAGTACAAAAGAAAACATTTATTTTAAGTGAGTTTATCATATGGAGTGTATTTAAGAGAAATGAACAGTAAGAGAAAAGAATAAAGATAGTTTATATGAAAACAAACCATCAGTTTATCTGGGTGAAAATGGGAATAAGGGCAGTTACTACAGAGTTGGCACAAGTGAAAGGGAACACTCAGTACAGTGCCTGTACTCAAAGCTATTGTAGCGAGGATTCAATCATGTGACAGCAATCTATTTTCAGGATTTCCAGAGATCAAATTTAACTGTTGGACAGCTAATCCATGAATTACCAATCAGTTGACAAGGGAGGCTGACAACCTAGACTAATTTCCATCACCCTCTAACTGAAGTCATCACCATCTCTTGCCTAGTTTACTGCGACAGCTTCCTATCTGGTCTGTTTCCACTTCTTCCCCAGTACAGTTTATTCTCTGATGTGGCCAGAATGTGTTCTTAAAAACATAAATCACATTACTTCCTTGCTCAAAAATTTTCAATCACTTTCCTTTTCCCAAGGACTAAGGTTAAACTCATGGCCTAAAATGTCTAAATGATTCTGCCCCTGACCACGTGTCTGAAATCATGTCTACCTTTGTGTCCTTGTCTTACATGGCTCCCATTACAGCAGCCCTTTTTGATATTCTTCAAAAACCTGAGCTCGCTCCTGCCTTATCTTTGAGCTTGCTGCTCCCATCTGGAATGCTCTTTCCTCAGCCATCAGTCACATGACTTCTTCATCCAGGGTTCCATCCAAGTGTCACCTCCTCAAAGTGGCCTTTGCTTACTCCACTTGGCCCTCCTGCATCATTCCATTCCTTTACTCTGCTTGAATTTTTTTCAGAACCCATTATGATCTGAAATTATACTATACCTCTGTTTATTGTCTGCCTCACGCACTAGGATCAAAACTTGATCTTATTACTACTATCATCCCAGTTTGTAAAAGAGTGCAAGTTCTGTAGTCAAAGCTAATAAATGTTAGTGAAATGACAAAAGAGGTTGAAAACTTAGATGAACTCAGTTGTATTTGTTAGAACAAGAAATACAGATTCCTTATAACAGTTACTGAGTATGAGAAGGCCTGGGACTTATGTTAATTATATGTTAAATAAGGAAACTTATTTGGTATTAAAAAAAACCCTCTGTCTCTGCCCTAGACTTGAAGATTTGGGAAAGAAGTAGGAAGAGTAAACATTCACCAGGAAATAATTAGAATAGCAAGGCTTCACACATACAAACCTGGATGATGCTGAGGATCTCATCATAGGTCCAGTGCTCTCCTTGGCAATTCACGAGGAAGTCATTGAGCTGGAGTATGCCAACCCCGAAGATGCCCAGAGACGTGCTCTCGACCCCAGTGCCATTTGTCACGATGCTTGCAGCAGCAATGGCATCAGATATCTGCCTTTGGTTGTCCGACAACTGCTGTTTACTCTTAATGAACAAGCCCAAATCTGAGACATTTCTGGTCAACAAATCTGAAACAGAATCCACAGAACACAGACATGCTAATCAGCATCTTTTACGAAGTTTATATTGGAGATAATGGTGCATGGAATTATGCTGGAATAAATCTTCACTAATCTTGCTGAACAAGCCATCAATCTCAGTGCTTATTCCTATATTCACATAGCTGAAGGAATAAAAAATGGACCAATGAATAAGTAAATAAAAGAGAACGATGCTTATGATCTTGAACACCCATGAGCTTTAATATTACATGGGAGTTTTGATATTACTTGTATACATTTATACAAAATGTGTATTTTACTGGGGACCTGAGGCTGAATTTGGATTTTGGTTTTTGAGAATAACTACTGTTACATTTTTATGTTTGCAGAGTCTGAAGATGTACCCTTAAATTTACAGTTTATCTATATTTTAGAAGGGTAACCATAAACAGTTGTGGGCATGTTTCTGTATGATTATAAGTTTTCAGTTCATTTGGGTAAATACCAGAATGTAATTGCTAGATCATATGGTAAGAGTATGCTTAGTTTTTGTAAGAAATTGCCAAACTCTCTTCCAAACTGACAAACCATTTTATATTCCCACTGGCAAGGCTCTAGTTGCTCCACATTTGCATGAACTTGGTGTGGCCAGTTGTTGAATTCTGGCCTCTTTGTAAAATAACCTGGCTGTTTCTTACAGAACTACACAGAGACTTACTATACAGCCCAGCAATTGTGTTCCCTGGTGTTTACCCAAATGAGTTGACAACTTACATCCACACAAAACCCTGCACACATTTATAGAAATTTTATTTGTAATTGCTAAAAATTGGAACACCAAGATGTCCTTCATAGGAGAATGGATATACTGTGGAATATCCATACAATTGAACACTCTTCAGTGATAAAAAGAAAGGTGCTATGAAGTCATGAAGAGTCAGGAAGGCACCTTAAGTATGGTTGCCAAGCGAAAGAAGCCAATGTAAAAAGGCTAACTTATTCTATGAGTCCAACAATAAAACATTCTGGAAAAGGCAAGACTATGGAAACAGGAAAAAAGATCAATGGTTGTCAGGGATTCAAAGGGAGGGTGGGAGGAATAAAAAGGTGGAGCATAGGACAATTTTAGGGCCACCTTTAGCCTGAACTCTACAGGTCTCAAACCTCTGCTGATCTTTCTTTTTTTTTTTTAAATTTTTTTAAAATTTTTGCATAGAAGAACTGGGGTATAGGACAGAGGTGTGGGGAGTGAGAGGATTCAGAGAGTAGGGAGCAGAACAGGCAGATCTACTGAAATACACTGCTGAGGGGAGCAGCGGGTGAGACAGGAGAGGTTTGCTGCACTATGTGGGTAGCTTCCTGGCAGGGGATCGAATTCAGGCCATAAACGTAATAGTGCTGAGACTTAACCACTAGGTCACCAGGGAGGCCCTAAGCTTTGCTTTTAGATAGAAAGGCCTCAATGGGAAATACCATTATACAAACCGAGGTCAGGCTGAAGGTCGCTGGTGTTCTCATCGATTGTCAGGTTGGTGTAGAGTGGGGCTGGCTCGGGGCCGGCTCGGTTGCAGGGTACCGCGTAGATGTCAAAGAGGTCCTTCAGGTCCTTGCGGCTCCTGACACTGGGCGAGGGAAGCAAAATGCCTCACGTTTAGCGTGGCGATAAACATGGCAGGCTGAGAATGATAAGAACGTGCCTTACCTGAATGATTTGAACAGCTCAACGAATTCAACAAAACTCATGTTACTGTCTGAAACCATGAGGTTTTGAAAGCCCTTCATTCCTCCTGTGATCCGCCCATGCCAGCTGCTGCTGCTCCATGCACTGTAACAAAGACAGGCTTACTAGGCAAGACCGGGCAGTGCCCACCATCTGCCCCCGAATGTTCTCGGATTAACAGCATGAGCTGAAAGGTGGGTTGCAGGCCGTTTAAGGTCCAGGCTATTGTCCATACTGTCTTTTCATTTCTCTCAAAGTTAATCTATACTGTGTCAGGAGAAATGTAGCATCTTATGCACTTAAACCATTTCACGTATGGAGCCTATTCAATAAGAGTGCAAGGCTGAGGTTCATATTTCTCTGCTAATCATAAAAGGTCTTTGAGATCACAGGATGATGGGGGGAGGGTAAAAAGCTCTAAGTTCAGTTTTTTTGAAGAAAAATAATATTAGAGTCCCAAACTACTCGTCATGATCTATGGAGAATTGTGCATGTTATTTCTAAATTATAGAAACATTTAAGAAGGAAGTCTTGAATGTATCAATGTCTTCTCTTTTTCCTTTTTGAACTGGTTCTTAGATGAAACTAGGGGAGGGCTTTTCATATTTTTTTTTTAAGATTTATTTATTTATACAAGAACTGGGGTACAGGCCAGAGACACGGGAAGGTGAGAGAATTCACCAGAGACAGAGCTGGTAGCAGAAAAGGCAGATGGACCAAAAACAATGCTGAGGGGAGCAGCAGGTGAGACAGTAAAGGTCTGCCGTGCCATGTGGGTATCTCCCTGGCCTACTGGGAATCGAACCCGTGCTGCAGAGGCTGCGGACAGCTTCACAGCACTACGCTCAACCCGCTGTGCTCAACCCGCTGCGCTCAACCCACTGCGCCACTGGGAAGGCCCAGGGCTTTTAATATTAATGGAAAACGTGAGTCACAAAAACTTGAAGAATGGAAAACACCTTTCAGGGTTAGATTTGCACCTGCCCAGGCTGTTGTTACTCAACATAAAGATATCCATCACTAGGTCAAAAACTCAATCTAGCTGTTTGACAATATTTTAAATTTCTTACACTGGTTCCCTGATAGGATAGTAAGAGAAATGTTTTGATTATGGTTTTCAGTTAAATTAATGAAGAGTATCTTCTGACTATACCCAGTGCTTGTATAAATAAATAAATAAATCTTTAAAAAAAAAAGAATTCTGATTCTTTGTAATTTTTTATTTTGTTACTAAATTTGTGGAAAAGTTGCAAGAGTGGTTCAAAGAATGCTCATGTACCCTCAACACAGTTTCACAAGTGTAGAAATCTGAATGTATAAAGCATTCAATTTTGTTCATTATTACACTGTGAAAGAAATATTCCATTTTAAATATGACTTATATAGGATTCTTATTGAGAGAGAGAGAGAAAGAGAAAGAGAGTGTTTAGCATTTCCAAAGCCAATGTCTGCACAGTCCCAGTTCCTCCTCTTGCCCTTTGATTAAGTGGAATGGCTGTTTTATCTTGGTTCTGTCTGGAATCTCTATAGTTCTTAAACTTTAGTGTATTCTGGTTTCAGTGAAACCAGCAGAGATGATTCTCACCCTGTAATTTGCATGGATCTTATAAAATGATTTACTATTAATATCAACCTGAGAATTATATCTGAACATATACAACTTGCTATAATAGAGCCATGTCTCCGGGCATATATACTACATATAAAAAGAGAGTATTAAACTGTATTTCAATAATTAGTAAAGGGTAAAGCAGCTTATATTAAAACTTAAGTTATAAAGCAGTGTTATCAAACAGAACTTTTAGCAATGACAAAATTGTTCCACGTCTGCACTTCAGTACAGTAGCCTCCAGCTGCTTGGAGTTGTGGGGCACTTCTAACATGGCTGTTGTGACGGAAGATCTGAGTTTTAGATTTAATTTGCATTTAAAGAGCTACTATATTGGATAGTGCAGATTGGAGAATCACAGCTTGCATTCTTGCATTTCACTTCTGAATGGTTGGTTTCTCAATTAGGAGCAAGTATAAGTAATATGACAAGTAGGAGTATAAAATCAGGAAAACTAGCAGCACTTAAATACATATATACATATATGTGTGTATATATGTGCACACACACACACACACACACACACATATATATATATATATATACATATAAATTTTCAATGTGATTGGTAAGTTAAAATTAGAGACAGTTTTTCCATAGTGCCCTGGAAGAATGCACCCTTCTATACAATTTGAATGATGAGAAGGGTCCCTCTGTTTTATCATGTTAAGGCCCCACCTGGATGGGATCTTGTTTGCAGACAGCACAGGGGAGGACACTGGCCTGATGGGAGATGACGTCCCGGCAGCCAAGTTAGGGGAGTTAGCCGTGGTCAAAGAGTGGGCTCTTCTGGAAGGGAGAGGGTTAGGAGGGCTAGCGATGACATTCGCCTCTGTGAGAGTGAAAGACAGAAAAGAGAATGACTTCGATTATACTTCCTCTCAGAAGTCAGATGAAAATCAAAGATGCTTCTAAATGTCTAAGCAAGTCAATCTGTCTGCAGGCAATTTCAACACTAGTAGCATTCAAATATTTTGGATGAATAGACTTATCTGGTATGTTCTCGACCCTGGCTATACATTAGAATCATCTGGGGAGCTTAAAAATATATAGAGGTCCAGGTTTCTGAATAAGTTGGTCTGGAGCATCCTTGTCCAGAACATCCAGACATTTTGTTTTACAAGCTCTAATATTCAGGCAGGATTGAAAGCACTGGTCTAATCTATCAAATTGTATCTTGTAGAGCCAATAATCCTTATCAAAACTGCAAGTTAATTAATGGGACCTTTCTTCTAAGCACACCAGGCTTGCAGAAATACTTCTTGGGTTCCATTATTGAATTAAAAACAAAGCCAAAAATATTATCAATAAAAAGAGTAGTGTTAAGAAAGCCCACAGTACTTAAACAACAACTTAAAACTTAATGCATATTTTTTCCATAAAATTAAAAATAAATCTCAGATGTGGAATATGCTGCTTTACCTGATTCTTCTTGTTCATTAACGTCTTGAGGGTCAGACCCACTCCGGCTCCGACACTCTTTGTGCATTTTAGCCTTTCTGGTGGCCATCTCGTCATCAGTTGCCTCTCCACTCTCACCCTGGGGACACAAAACTCAGTTTCTCATTCTGTATTTCTCTCCTATGACTATGTAAGTTCAGGTAGGTCCCTGAACTCTGAAACCAGCAAAGACCTAGGCGAAGCCTGGCCATTCATCTTTCACTATAAAGCAGCATGCCTCAGGGAGCAGGCCGCCACGATGAGCCCTCGGGCCCTGGAGTCTCTGAATAGAGATATGTCTGTATGTCTCAATATTCTACGAAGCAGATGAAATTTTATCTAGGCATCAACGGCCTCCCACATGCAAACCATGGAAAAATATATTCCATGTTATAATGATAATACAGATAATGTAACACATGTGATATGATATATAATATATAGTGATAATTATATATATTTCTATTATTTCTACTTCAGTTATGATAATGTACTGAAGGTTCATTCACATTGTAGCAGATGGCAAGATTTCCTTTTTTTTTTAAGATTGAATAATATTCCATTGTATGTATATGCTACATTTTCCTTATTCTTCATGTGTGGATGGACATTTAGGATGCTTCTTAAGCTGTGCTCTGTATTATTTTGGCTACGAACCTTCAATATCTGATTCCTTTTCTTGCGATTCCTTCCTTGCCCATCAGCAGAGCCCATGCTCCCACATGGAGTATGATCCCATCATTGCATGTGCTTCTTTGAACAAGTCAAATCCTTTTCTGCCTCTTGGTTTTATACCACCCTCTTATCCCCAACCCAAATGATCTAAGGGAGTTTATAGTGGTGAAGACCATTCAGTAGTCCTGGATGACTGGGATTGATGCTTAATAAATAAGTAATACTTTACTCTCATAAGGATTTTCTTCTTTTTCTTGGTGGTGCTTATGCCCAAGGTGTTGTTTCTCTGCATGTTAGGCTTCTCGGCACTCTTTGCTGATGTCCCAGGGCTGGGGTTTCGAGTACTCCATCGTCTGCCACCAAACAACTCCACAGCATGAGCCAAAGTTGGGCCTTCATATCGCCCATCATCCTATAAAAGAACCACATGCCAAACACATAAGGGAACAGCAGGCATGTGGAACTGAACATATTAATGACTTCCAATAAATTCCCAGAGGTGCAATTGCCCTGGCAACCAAAAGAATAATGATCTGTCCACACAAGTGGCTGTTTTCTAGCTATTGGGATTTTTCTAGTGGACATTTCATAATGTCCTCTGTTGTCCTGATCAAATCTCTGCTGATATGCTTGATGGGCCACATGCAACTGGAATTATCAAAAACATATTTTTCTTTCCAATTTCAAAGTTTATGTTCCAATGTTACCATTGTAGGAAAAATCATTAAAACATAACTCGCAAATCAGGGCTTTGGTATGTATGTATGTATCTATGTAAGTAAAATCAAGTTCTATTTGTTATTGTATCTCTCCAGGTAGATTTTCACCTAGTTTGATGCTTGGGACAGTCTGACTTGAAATACAGGGAACTCATTTGGAGGGCTCTGGGGAGCACCTTAAATAGTTGGACAGCTATCCTCTTGATTGGCAAATATCTAGGGATAGAGAGCCTGGGGGACTTGAACACCATGTATGTTATGATGCTGTGAGTTGCAAAAACATAAGTGAGGGGCAGGTTAATGGACAATAATAGTTGCTTCTCATAAGGCAACTCCATATAATTTACACTCAGTAGCAACAGTGATTTATTAATAAAACAATGGTCAACAAATCTCCCTATAAGTCAGGAAAGTAAGTTAACAAACTACTAACATTTGCATATGAATCAGAGATAATATTGATGATATTTCACACGTTGTGGAAAAGGACTCTTTTAAAATTAATTTCCATTTACTCTTGTAACTTTCTTCAGACTTTGAAGATTAGTCCTCTTGTGCAATTCTAAAGGAATGCTTATAAATACATTTTGCTTAGTAGTAGATAATATGTAAATGACAAAGAGGCTTTGAGTGTGTGTGTGCTTCTTCATCCTAATGGTCAATGACTAACTGATTTTGACTTAGTTGTGACCTCCCACTTCCTGTATCCTGTTTTGGATCCCTGGATGCTAAGTAACTTGGATACTTGATGTGGGAAACATTTTGGTGATCTCTGGTAGTGGATATCTGTGTCTTATGCCTGTCCATTAATTATTTCTCTACTCTTTCACTATACCCCAACTTTACTTTATCTCTTTTCCACTGGATATAGTCTTGGGAAACATCCTCCCTTGATCAATGGTTGTCACATGATTCAAACAAGGCAATCAGAATCTCCATCCTGGAAAATGAATCTTGACTGAAATGTTACAGAGAATGAAAATGGTTGAGACAAGTCTGCTGAAGAAAGTCCTTTTAATAAGTCACTGAAACTGACTACGAAGAAAAATAAACATTTTGTTTCAATTTCATAAATAAGTTTTAACTACTTTATTGAATAATATACTCTGACTCTAAAAGAAATTTTGTAAAAATCGTGTCCATGAATTTTAACCATTGCATCTTAAAAATCTTTAGTAGAACCCTTCATTAATATAAAAAACTTTTGCCCTGCAAAAGGCAATGTCAGGAGAATTAGAAGATAAGCCACGAACTGGGAAAAACTATTTAGAAAAGTAACATTTGACAGAAGACAGTTATCTAAAATATATGAGGAATTCTTAAGTTCAACAGTATGAAAACAGACAGTCCAATTAAAAAAATGGGCCAAAGGTGTCTTAACAACACCTTGCTGAATTAGATATACAGATATCAAGTAAGCATATGAAAAATGGCTCCACATCATACATGTGTCACCAGGATTCTGCAAATTAAAACAATGAGATACGACTACATACCTATCAGAATGGCCCACATTCAGAATATGGATGCCACCAAATGCTGGTAAGGATGCGGAGCATACTCGGATTGGGAATGCAAAACAGTGCAGACACTCAAGGCAGTTTGGCAGTTTCTTATAAAACTAAACATACTCCTTTCATATGATCCAGCAATCACACTCCTTGTTATCTACCCCAGAGAGCTGAGAACTCATATCCACACAACAACCTCCACACCAGGATGTCCTTTGTAGGCAATGGATAAATAAACTTTGGTACATCTAGACAATGGTATGTTACTCAACACCAAATAGAAATGAGCTATCAAGCCATATAGACATGGAGAGATTTTATTTTATTTTATTTTTTTAAGATTTATTTATTTATTATTTATTTATACAAGCACTGGGTGCAGTCAGAAGTGCGGGAGGGTGAGAGAATTCACCAGAGCCAGAGCGGGGAGCAGAGCAGGCAGAATGACGAAGTACACTGCTGAGGGGAGCAGCGGGTGGCAGGAGAGGTCTGTGCACCATGTGGGACCCTCCTCCGGTGGCCGGGGAGCAGCCGGGGATCGAACCAGCACTGCAGAGGCTGCGGGCAGCTTCGCAACCCAGTTCTCAACCGCTGCGCCACCGGGGAGGCCCAGACATGGAGAGATTTTAAATAAATATTAGTAAGTGAAAGAAGCCAGTCTGAGAAAGCTAAACATAGTTGGATTCCAATCATAAGACTTTCTGGAGATGTAGAACTATGGGACAGTAACAAGATCAGTGGTTGCTAGGGAAGACTGGTCTGGGGTCATAGGAAGGGATGAGTAGGCAGAGCACAGAGGACTTTTAGGGTAGTGAAAATACTACATATGATATTATAATGGTGGATATTATATATTATATATTTGTATAAAGCCATAGAATGCACAACACTATCAATAAGAATGAATTCTGTGGAAAGCTATGGACTTTGGGTGATTATGTGTTAATGTAGGTTCATCTTTGGTAAAAAGTACCATTCTGATGAGTGATGTTGGTAATGGGGAGGTTATGCAAGAGTGAAGGGGAGTTTATGGGATATTACCCTACCTTTCTCTCAATTCTATTGTAAACCTATAATCTACACACAAAAATAAAATCTTTAATTATAAAAACAAAACCTTACTAAATCCATTACCTATTATACATGAAAGAATCAGCATCATTAGCCTGTAATGCTTTGGTTTTGCTCAATTTAGATCATCCCAGCATGTTAGCCCTACTAATGGAAATATGTTGGGCCTAAAGAAGCAGAATGCTTTTGTTTAATCCTTTAGGGAGACTTTCTGGGAACTAAAATGTCATTTTGAATCTTGTTTGGAATGGGTGAAGGATGTATCTTCCTTTTTAATATGGGGGAAGGACTGTGGTTAGTGAAGTGACATTTTCAGTTTTAGAAAACATTTCTTTTTTTTTTTATTTTATTTTTATATTTCCCATACAATTGCAACTCCCTTATTTAGACCCCATCCCTCCTTTCCCCGCCCCCACCCCCCATGGTGTGCCTGTGGTTCATAGTTGTTTGTGGATTTTGATTTTTTCTTTCTTATAGTTATTCTTTTTCCTGGTCCATATTTAGGTTTTCTAGATTCCTGTTATGACTGAGACCATCCGGTATTTTTCTTTTTCTTTCTGGCTTATTTCGCTGAGCATGATCCCTCTAGCTCCATCTATGTTGCTGCAAATTGCATGTGTTTATCTTTTTTGAATGCTGAGTAATATTCCATGGTGTATATGTACCACATCTTCTTGATCCAGTCATCTACTTTTGGGCATTTGGGTTGTTTCCAAAGCTTAGCTATTGTAAATAGTGCTGCCATAAACATAGGGGTGCAGGTGCTCTTTGGAATTAATGTTTCTGTGTCCTTTGGGTAAATACCTAGGAGTGGAATTGCTGGATCATATGGAAGCTCTATCTTTAGTAGGTTGAGGAATCTCCACACAGCTTTCCATAGTGGTTGGACCAGTTTGCACTCCCACCAGCAGGGCAGGAGAGTTCCTTTTTCTCCACATCCTTGCCAACATTTGTTGTTGCTAGTTTTTTTTTTTTTAATATGTGCCATTCTCACTGGTGTAAGATGGTATCTCATTGTAGTTTTGATTTGCATTTCCCTGATTACAAGTGATGTTGAACATTTTTTCATATGACTGTTGGCCATTTGTATTTCCTCTTCAGAGAAGTTTCTTTTTAGCTGTTCTGCCCATTTTTTGACTGGATTATTTTCTTTGTAGAAAACATTTCTTATGGAAGTTGAGTATTAGAAAACTGATTCTCTCAAAATAGCCATACCTTTTAATCTCTTGGCTTATCTTTTTAAAAAAAATTTTAATGTACCATTATTTTACACCCTTGTTTGTTTTTTCACAATATAAGATTTCTCCCCTCAGGTGTGGTCACCATTGTTTCCCACCACCAAAGTAGTGACAGTCCTTGCATATGATATCTTGAGGACTGTTAAATCCTTTGATGACAACACCAATCTCCTGGAAGATAGCCAAAATCTGTTTCTGCTACTCATGACCAAAGACATTTGCATGATAATCCTGTATTTGACTTTTTCATCTTCCCAGGGATCTTTCCAAATACCCAGGATTATGGGTCCTCACCTCTTTCCATGATTAGCTGGAGCAAAAGCTCACAATACCAGTCTTCAAGCCATATCCCATGTTAATTTCCCTGCAGTTTATTTTCTTGTATTCCTAGACTTCATTAAATATTACTATTTCTTCTTGTCTTCTACTTAGTCTCCTGTTAGGTCCATTTACATTTAGTACTAAAATATTTTTGGTATTTGAAAGTAACTTTACATACATTTATCACACAAGGGAACTCAGATATGGAAAGATTATTTTCTATATAAGCCCTTTTCAAACTGGAGATGAAAAAGAAACACACTAAAGGGTTGTTAGCAGAAGTTTGGAAGCACCCAAGACTTCTCATAATTTTTTTTTTACCTTATAGTTACATTTAAATAGTTTTCTTTTGTACCTTAGATTTGCTCAGAGTCTTAAACAGGCTAAAGCTATTATTCTTAGTCACTAATAGGGGCATGTAGCAGTTAAGCATGGTGTCTATTTGACCTTTTATCCTCTAACTACCAAGTTAACATCTTTGACTTTATTTCCTAAGACAGTTTGGGAAGTGGTCTGTATGATGGGAAAAGACCATTGATTTTTTTTCACTTCTTTTTTCAAAAAAGAAATCTTGACTGTCAAATCTTGAGAAATATTATTTGTAAGATGTATTGTCTATCTTCCGAGGTGACTGATACAGAACAATAAGGGGAAGAACAGTATCTGTGTTTTCAGAAATGACAGGCATATGGAGCTCTTTTGCTTTTATATTTGCAACTGTGAGAAGGGATTGGTGTGGCTGTGTTTGCAACTGAGTGTACTCCAGGTCATTTCATTCATCCCTGATCCAGCAGTACCTCTTACCTTTTATCTGCTGTTCATGATCTCAGCCACTGCCTCCTTCAGCAAAAACTGAAGGCTGCCACAGTAAGAAAGAAACCAAGTAGACTTTATGCGTTAATTCAGTTACTTATGCTATAAGCATGGGAAGGAAACAAATGGAGCAAATAAACCACATTGGCTTTGTGACAGTGATTGTAATTGAGTTCAAAGATTTTGCTTTATGTCCAGGTTAGACAGATTTTCATGATTCTAGAGGGCTGGAGCATGATTAAAATTAAAAATCAATATTCATAAGACCTTTCTTCCAAGCAGCTAACTGCATTGAATGCTCCCTGTGGAGTAGATAGGAAGCAGATAACTTGGTTTCCATTTTAGATGAATTAACTAAAATGAGTTAACTTTGTGCTGAACAGCATTAGCATGATCATATGCACAGCCCTATCTGATTTTAATTAATTAATCAAATTAGTTCCTTAGGATATCATATCCTGAGTACGTAGTACTGCCTGGGTATGGGGAAAGAAAATGGAAAAGCAGTCTATGTTCCTTTACTAACTTCCCAGAGGGAAAGCTGTTTAATGATCAGAAGTATGTATGTGAAAAGTGTATGAAATCAGTCATGTGATTACTTTAAGTCACTGTTCTATATTTATGCTGTGACACTCTTAAAAAAAGGCAATTCTTCCCTTAAATGATAGAAAAGCAGAACAAAGAAAAACGGAACACTTTGATATAACTCGTCAAACAACGCCATTTCAATAGTGTCACGTGGCTGGGTTTATGACTCAATTTCCAAGCAATCTCTGCCTCTGCCCTCTCTCCTTCCTTTCGCCTAACACGTGAGTCTGGTTACGCTGCACCTGACTCAGTGCAGTCTGGCTGCCATGCTTCAGTGGCATGTTAATGTAGCCAATACCTTGGGGCTATGGAGAAACTCACTCAGTTTAAGCAGCTGATGTGAGAAACTGTCTCCTAAGGGCTGTGGCTACTACAAATCTGCTTAGGAAGCTCTTCATGTATGATTTACCCCAAATTTGGGAAAGTTTCTTTTAACCTTAGAAGTTCTAGTTAGAAACAAACATACAGTAAGTTAAATAACTAAGAGTCCTGTAACATGTAGGTGACAAACCAGGATTTCAATTTCCAAAGTAAAGATTCTAAAAGAACCAGCTAATCCCAAATTAGTAATAAAAGCATCCAGGTTGCAATGCTTTCGATTGGGATGTTGAGTAAATTAAAATGATTATATGAAGTCGTTACTATCCAGATGTGAGAAGTACAATGAACACAGTCACTATTTGCATATAAAATAGTATTGGGACCTACTGTGAACCAGACATTCTCCTTTCACAAATGAATTTACAATATGGCAGTGCACATATTAACATGGTTAAATCTCACAGTCACCCTATGAATAGGTATCATTATTATTTCCATTTTATAGAGAATAAAAGGAGAGGTTAAAAGCTGCCCAATATCACCTGGAGAGTAACTGACTAAGCCAGGAGAATGAGTTATGGCATCTTATTGCCACAAGTGTGTTCTTACAAGATTTATGTCTTGAGAATTATGCTACTTGAGAATTATGAAGAAAAAGGGAAGGCATTACCTGATAGAGGCTGACATACTGTTTCCGCAGCCACTGCTGTCTTTGGTCGGGAAACTTCCTCATCTTTCTTACAGCTCTAGTGAGTTCCAACAATCCACTGAAGAGCATTTTAGCTGTGTGCTTTGGGGCCACAAAATGCAATAATCTATTGTCTGTGGTTTGAAGTCCATAGAGCAGTGTCACACCAGTCTCTGCGAGAAGCATGCTACCCAGTTTGTTCTGAACACACACAGTGTGTATATCAATGCTAGGGTGTCCCATGTACACAGCCTTCACTGAAAACAGGTCCAAGACCCCCTCTGCTAGGCCACTTAATCCAGCACTGCCCAGTAACGGAAATTTACCAGGCTCAGATGTGTTACTAAGCACACCGAGTTTTGCTTTAGTACTGGCTGAGGAGGCCGTGGTGGGCTTTGTCCAGGTCAAGGTGCTATTGTCAGGCTGAAGCTGGAGGAAGCAGCGGGCAGAGAGGTGAGTGTCCTGGTCATAGTGGATGACTGTGGCCCCCTGTAGCAGGAACTGATGCACATCGGCCTGGATGGACAGCACATACCATGGGATGAGCTCTGTCCCATGGTCAAAGGCCTTCTGTGGCTCCTCTGACCCATAAAGGTCCCATTCTTTAGACTGTTCAAAGATGTCATTTTCAGAATCCAGCAAATCTCCGATTATAAACCTGATGGAAAGAGATACAAATCTGTCTTAAAATCAGAAGTGAAAATTCTCAAGACCTCTTACTGACAGTAGACTTCATTTTTCATTTCATTATGAATTCAAAATAGGGTAGGAAATATAAAAGTCACAGAACAATTTTTAATATTTGTACTCTAAAACCTGACATTTAGCAATATATCTCACTTAGGCATAAGGAAAGGACCTACTAGATCAACTACTGTATCTTTTAATACTAACAATAATTGTGTATTAGTTTTTTGTGTGTCAGAAAATGCATTAATACTTTATGTATATTTTGCATCTAATTTGATCTACTTGTGAAGTATTTTTGTTTATTTGTTTATCTATATATTTATTTATATATAAGGAAACTGAGATTCAGAAGGGGTGAGAAACTTGGTCCAGATGACACAATTCAGAAGAGGCTACTAAAGGCAGGATTTCAGTCTGATTCTTTAGCCTGGAATCTTCATAGCTAGGTTTGTTTGTCCTCTACTTGATCATAAACAAAGTCATGACCTGAATACATTAGCGCTAAAACAGGCAAAATAAGACTTAATGAGCTGGCCTGAGAAGTGTCTCTGCTAAATACAAAATACAAGTAGTTCAAAGATGCTCACTGGGAAATATAGTAATGGTGACCGGAGGAACAAGAATAGTTCTCCTTGACTTAGTCTTTGATTTTCAGTTTGTGTGTGTGTGTGTGCATGTGTGTGCACTTGCACATAAGGGACTTGTCTGCTTGGAAAATTTGGCAACTCAGGAACCTGGATATTAGGGTCAAGAGGACCTCCAGGAAAGGGAACATGTCTTACCCCTGTTGACAGTTACCTGACTGAGGTATTGGTCATGTTCCAATGTAAAGTTACCTAAAAAGAAATAAAACTTCTTTCTACACAGTCCTCTTTGGAAGGAACTCACTACGAGCAGCTCATATTTAGGGAGTAGGGAGTTATGCACTGCCTTCCAGAGGGCAGAACATTCAGTTTAGTTATTTGGAATTATTCTGCTTGGGAGATTTATTTCATTCTCTCCATTTGTTTATTAATTATGTACATGGACTCATGGACTTTATTTTATGTTTTGGACTATAATCTTATACTACTATATTTTGCTGCTCAAATGGTTCTGGTTTTGTCCCTCAACTTCTTTTATTTGGTTCTTTTGTCCCATTGCTATATGCCATTATTATGGGATTTTCTCATTTTTTTTCCCTCCCTCCCCACCCCTTTTTCTTCCCCCTCCTTTCTTTTTACTTTCTAGCACAATAAGATGCTCCAGGCTCCTCCTCTGTATTTCCTACACCAGCCCTAGAACCATCCATTTCTCCAAGGACTTTTGCTTTCTTTTATTGAAAAATGCTTTTAGAAATGAAGATCTGGGTGCGAGGCGCAAATATATTCTATTTTATGCACTTTTATTATTATTACATTTCACCATAAAAAGTGAAGAAAGAAAGAAATCCTTTGTGTCTAACTTAGTTCCATCCCTCTGAAATTAAGGGAAAATCAATACTTCAGTCCTCTTATATAATACTATGTCCATGCTTCATACATGTGGTCTGGTGGCTAGGAACATGCCCTCTAGAGTCACCCTGGACTTAATTTGCTGTGTGACCTACTCAAATTGCTTAGCCTCTCTGAATCTCACTTTACTTATCTGTTCATGGCAAAAAGGCAATGACGATTTTACAGAATAAACATGAAGTTCAAATAATAAATCACTTGTAAAGTCTTCAATACAGTGTCTGACTCAGTAAAGTACACCACTGTAACAGAAGATAGAAGACTGTGGTTTCATTCCTGTCACCTCTCCTTTCTGTCCCCCCAGGCAAAGTCAGTTCAGCTGTTTCTCTAGCGGGGATTTCTTCAGGGCCACATCCAAGCCCTTTAATCTTTTTATTTCTCTTTTCTGGGACCATATCCACATCCTCCATATCACACTTCTTGTTGCTGTTTCTGTTTTAAGAACAAAAAGGATTCAACTGGTGAGCCTCAGTACCCATGAAATACAACGTATGTAACTTTAGACATAGACCTTCTGATTTTAATTTAGCAAAAGAAAGGGGGTTTCCCATATTCCTTTTAATTTGACTTCTGAGCTAACTCAAGTAATTTTCCAGTGAAAAACTACAGGCATTATGAAAAATAGTGTCTGGAAAGAAAAATGATGAGGCATCTCTGGAGCCCATTGCTGCTGTGCCGAAATGATGTAAGCTGGGAGGACACTGTCTTTCTTAGCATCTGGTTCTGTTTTAGAACACAACACAATGAATGCTAGGTGCTACTAATCCACCAAAAGCATGTTTTGGGGACTGATGTCCAAGATAAAATTGACAATTGTTTATAATGACAAATTCATTTCAAGAAGGAAACTAATAGCTTTGTCACTTAGATCATATAGTGAATATCACACACTTGTGTGCCTGGTTCTCTCAGGAGAAAACTTTCTGTGGCTTGATGTGAAGGAATAGGTGGAACTTAATGGGTTATTAAGGAGCCAAATAACATTAGCCAAAGATCAAAGACGTGGCTTACCAGTATAGAAACTACATTGTCAAACTTAGGTCACATGCCTTAAGAAGAGGACCAAAGTCCAACCACTATGGAGAGCTGTGTGGAGATTCCTCAACCTACTAAAGATAGAGCTTCCATATGATCCAGCAATTCCACTCCTAGGTATTTACCCAAAAGACACAGAAACATCAATTCCAAAGAGCACCTGCACCCCTATGTTTATAGCAGCACTATTTACAATAGCTAAGCTTTGGAAACAACCCAAATGCCCAAAAATAGATGACTGGATCAAGAAGATGTGGTACATATATACCATGGAATATTACTCAGCATTCAAAAAAGATAAACACATGCAATTTGCAGCAACATAGATGGAGCTGGAAGGGATCATGCTCAGTGAAATAAGCCAGAAAGAAAAAGAAAAATACCGGATGGTCTCACTCATAACAGGAATCTAGAAAACCTATATATGGACCAGGAAAAAGAATAACTATAAGGAAGAAAAAAATCAAAATCAACAAACAACGATGAACCAGAGACACTCTTGGGGGAGGGGGAGGGAAGGAGGGATTGGGGTCAAAATTGGGGTTGCAATTGTATGGGGAATATAAAAATAAAATTTAAAATAAAAAGAAGAGCACCAAGGAATGAAAGGGAAAGATATTTGTATCCAGTCTCTGAAGGGGTTCTGGAGTATCTTTTAGTTAGAAACCTAAAGGAAGATAAAGGAAGATAAACAATTTTTCTAATTTTCCCTGATGAAAATCTTTCTTTTTTAAAAAATTGAAATATAATTGACATGTAACGTATTAATTTTAGGCATATCCAGTAACAATTTGGTATATATATATATATATCCCATGAAATGAAATGAAAATCTTTTATTAGAGGGTAAGTGGACTATTTGTTAGCCTGGTGTTGTATTTTCCTCAATGGTTCATGACTTCCTATAAATTTAATAAGATTACATGAGCATGATTCATCAAGTGATAAACATAACCTAAATGGAATCTTTCAAGACTGAAGAAAATATACACTTTTCCCAAAGAACTGGCTGCAGCTGCTCCCTGTAAAAAAATCTTGAGTTTTAAGCTGACTTCTGGCAACTTCTTGCTTTTAATTAACCTAGCACCTTCCTCAATACAGGCATTCTAAATCATATCTGGACAGAGTGTGGCCTTTGGAGCCAGCATCCTAAGGTTAAATCCTCTGCTAGCTGTGAGATCCTGAATAAAACTATTGTGAGGATGAAAGCATTCAGTTTATGTAAAGTATTTAGGAAAGTGTTTGCTGAAAGTTGCTTGTCAACAAAAAACAGCATGTTAAGTAGCACTAATAATATTATTGTCTGGACTGTATTTACAAAGTCAATGTCCTAGAACATAGCCACTCACACAAACATTGCTTCTGTGTAAAAACGGTATCCAAGTTCGAAGTTGGGATTCCAGTAATAAAAAGCTTAAATTAAATGCTATGTAGATAGTGGGAAAATGGCTTTCCTTGTCACAGGTCATTGAAGCAGGACTGGGAGGACTGGGTCTCAGGTACAGGCCAAGGAGACAGGAAGAGAGAAATAGAAGGTTCCACGTATTCCTGGCCCCAGAAACTTCCAGCAAAGTTGTGATCAGGGTGTGGCAGACTGTGAAGAGGCCTGTCCTGAAGCAGTCAGCTGTACAGGTTAAAAGGAGTGTGTTAGTAAGTTTGGGACATGTCTGCACCATCCCTTGGAGAGTAAACTGATTGGTCTCCTATCATTTTATTATTTTGTGCAAGCGTATGTACATGTAAATCCTGGTAACTGTTATCTTTTTGCTAATACTCTACTTTCTTAGAGCTTTCTTATTTTATATCCCTGTAGGGTTATATCTTCAGGCAAGTCTCTAAGGAGCTTATTGGGATTGGAGGGTTCTGGAAAATAGCTCTTCCAGTGATGGAGGGGTGCGCCAAAAATGGAGTCTTCTACCAAGTTGCCCAGGACCCTCAGCTTGGTATGTGAACAGTGAACGGGCAGACATTAATTATAACAGTCACCATTTATATGGCATTTAGAATGTAAACTTGCTTGTTTCACCTGCATCATCTTACAAATTCTCATGGCAGCCTCATAAAGCAATGTGATCATTCTTATTTCACAGATGAGAATGCTGTAGCTTAGTAAGATTAAGTCATCTACCCAAGTGATACAAATAGTGATCGAAGTGGTGGTGGTAAGGTTCAGTTCCAGGCAGTGTGACTGCAAGTTTGAGCTCTAATCAGCTCAAACCACCTCCATTCTAACAATATTTTAGGAAATACTTGTTATCTAATTATGACCAAGTTGTCCAAATGCAGCTTCTTAAGCTGCAGCATCTTAGAGAAGGTCAGTAATGCTGACAATAAGAACTTTAGTTCCAATATGACTCAAAACTTTTCTCCACACTCTGTATAGTCTTAATTTCCATTTTCTAATAGTGGTGCTGCTCTATGCCTCTTTGACTTGCACATACTCACAGAGGCAAAGTCTATTTATTCTTCATGCTGTTAACTTTAAAAAGTCATTATTAAAGAGTTTATAGGTCATATGAAATGTAATTGGAAAGGTTTTAGAATTTAGATTTTCCTAATCTACAGGAACAAGAAATGAAAAGAAGCTGGGAGTTCCTCTACATTGATATTTTGATTCTCTCAACCCTGTTCCTTTCCTCCTGAGGTTTTCAACTTTTATGATTATTTTCCTGGAGTTTCTGGAGTGCTTCTAATGGGTTTTCTAGCAGGAGTGGCTGAGAGATTTGAGAAAATTACAAGAACATCTTGCAGCTGAGAAAACCACAGGAACATGAGATTTTCCCTTCTTTCTTTCATGTAATTTTCACGGGGTGGTGGCTGCCTCATGAACAGAAGCTGGAGATTACTGTTTATAGAGTCTTTCTTTCAGCCAAATCAACAAGAAAGCATGGTTTATATGAGTTGTGGGATCTGGAAATTCCTTTGTCACACACAACCCCGAGCTGGATATTTTGATATAGGGCTTTGGAGGCAGAATGGATTCCCAAGCCCTTGCAAATTGTCCTAGAAACAGACCTTGCTGATATGGTCTCACTGAATTTTATTACACAACCTCAGTCCCATCTTATATGTCCATGGTTCTTTTTAGTACAGTCCCTCAGGGTAAGGAAATGATTACTAATACTGAGGTATATAGATTTCATTGTGAGGATTTCAGCATGACATCATAGACTTATAAAACAATTGTTTGCATTATTCTACTTTTTTCCCTTTAGGAGTGTTTGCACTCCTAAAATTCTGGAAAATGGGAATTGGAAGAGAAATATTCTTAGGATGTAGAGGATAAAATGTTTAGGAAGGGGGCAAGGGAATAAGCAGAAAATTGGAAATAAATATGTCCATAGAAGAAAATAAAAAAAAATAAAAAACAAACAAATGTCACGAGAGGTAATGGGGTGATGCAAGGAATTTATCATTTGAAGGAATACCAGGGAAAGGAAAGGAGGTAAAGGGATCTCAGAGGCTAGGTCTCTGGGGTTCAATCATGGTAGCTTCCTAAAAGTATTTTAGAAAGGTTGACACTTTAGGTAACACACACACACACACACACACGCACACACACAATATTGACAATAAGAACTTTAGTTCCAATAGGACTCAAAACTTTTCTCCAAACATCTGTATATTCTTTTTATTTTATTTTATTTTATTTTTTTTTAAACGTTAGTTTTTTTTTTTTTTAAGATTTATTTATTTATTCATACCAGCACTGGGTACAGTCAGAAGCGCGGGAGGGTGAGAGAATTCACCAGAGCCAGAGCAGGGAGCAGAGCAGGCAGACTGACGAAGTACACTGCTGAGGGGAGCAGTGGGTGGCAGGAGAGGTCTGTGTGCCATGTGGGACCCTCGCCCGGTGCCTGGGGATCGAACCAGCGCTGCAGAGGCTGCAAGCAGCTTCACAACCCAGCGCTCAACCTCTGTACCACCGGGGAGGCCCATATCTGCATATTCTTAATTTCCATTTTCCAACAGTGGTGCTGCTCCTTCTGAATGTTATTATGAAAAGGTGCCTAGTGAATGTTATTATGAAAAGGCACCACATCATATTCATTATTTTATCTATTCAGTATCTTCGATAATAGGATAGAAGGAAGGAATTTTGTAGATCTTGTTATAGGGCAGCCCTGATACAAAACGGGGTGCCTGACTGTGGGTCCTCACCTGCACGCTTAAAAGGACTTATCAATACTCTACTGCAGGCACACGCGAAAGGTTAATAAAAGGTTTATTTACAAGGGAAGGGCAAATGCTGAAATGTACAACTCGGGGAGAAAAGTGGGAGACAAAGTTTTAAATGCGTCCTACCCTATCCGCTGATCAGGTATCCCAAATGGCACTCTGTGAGCTGGCCGTGAGCCAGGAGTCGTGAAGCCAGGAGGCGGGTGACAGAGCGAGAGACCCCAAGGCCCATGTGTTTGGTTTTTATACCCAACCTGGCTGCTTAACTCCACCCTCAGGTTCCAGCCACCTTCCCTTTGGTGGTGACGGGATTTGTCTTTCCCAATGTCTTGATAACTTTGGTCTGGAGTGGGGGTGGAGTCCACAAAGCCTGTATGGGATTAGCTCAGGACATCCTTTCCCCCTAACAATCTCAGTGTGAGGAAAAGGTACACATCTCCCAAATATCTCTGATTTTTCTGGAAAACACAGTGACTCTTGTAATGAACTGTGACTCACAAAGTTTAGTTATTATGTAGACTGTATAGTACACATTTATGAATATACTATTTTTTCCTATCATATTTTTCTTAATATCCTCAATAATTTATATTTATTCTAATATGCATTCTGTAAAATCTTTGTGGAAGGAGACAAATATATACATAGATATATAGATCACTATATAAATAGATAGGCAGAAAGAAGTAGATCTAGATTAAGGACTTCAATGGGTATAAAATGCTTTCCAAGCAGAAAAAAGCTCACTTGTAGATGATCCTCTCTGTATCTACAGATTACCACTTGTGTCAGCAAGATGTAGTAAGAATATATTCAGCTGACCTCTGATTTGAGATAAGCCTAATAAGAAAAGGAACTGGTAGAAGATACTTGTGAGACACTGTGGGAAGCACAGTCACAGTTAAACTTTGAACACCTGGGTCCTCTATGGAGCGATGGGCTGGAAAGTGAGGTTTGGAAGAAAGCTCAGAGGTTTTGGAGAATCCGGACTATATAAATTTACCTCCTTAAAAACATAGCAGTGTTAGGGGATACAGACACAAGAGTTCATTTCTGTATGCACAATTGATTCTAGGGATCTAGCACAACAATGCCAAAGAAGTTATTTTCTGGGCCTCCCCGGTGGCGCAGTGGTTGAGCGCTGGGTTGCGAAGCTATGCCGGTGCAGGTTCGATCCCCTGCTGCTCCCCGGCCACCGGAGGAGTGTCCCACATGGCGCGCAGACCTCTCCTGCCGCCCGCTGCTCCCCTCAGCAGTGTATTTCGGTCCTTCTGCCTGCTCTGCTCCCTGCTCTGGCTCTGGTGAATTCTCTCACCCTCCAACGCTTCTGACTGTACCCAGTGTATGTATAAACAAAACAAACAAACAAATAAATAAATAAATAAAACATGCCTCTATTAAAAAAAAAAAAAAAAAAAAAGAAGTTATTTTCTGGAAGCAATGTAGGTTCACACACAGAGACAACCAGGGAAGGCTTTGTAAGACAAAAAGCAGTATCTTACGCACATGCATACATAGGTCTCAGACAACTATGAGGTCTTACTCATGCATACTGACTACAGATAAAACCTTTCCTGGCAAAGTGTCAAGGTCAGTAGAACTATTGTGGATGGTGCTTAAGGAGTCCTCTGGCTGGGCCAGGTTTTGCCACTGAGTTAGGTTTGGCCCAGAAGAGATGCCCCAGCACCTCTGATTTCTGCACTTTTCATCTCTTTGTTGGTGAGCATGCCTGCCCAGACCACAATGCCTGTGGACAACCAGTTGTTGGAAAACTGAACAATGACTGAGCTGCAGCTGCAGAGTTCACCTTAAAACATCGCACAAAGCACTCTTCTGAACCCCTGGTCTAGAATCAACTAAAAGCTGGGGTGCGGGGGGTGGGGAGGAAGAGCTGCTAAAAATACTGATTTTGGGGGTATCTCTCCAGCTCTAATACATCAGTATAGTTAATTCAAAAATATGTTAATACTTGCCCTATGTCTCATCAGTGACAAAAAACCCCATTTTTATAGAAGCTAGGAAATAAATAAAAGATCATGGTTCTAATACGGAAATTGAATTTTTTAGAAATGGCAGTCTAGCCTTAGTTTTTTTTGTTCTTTTTTTTGGGGGGGGGGGGAATAACAGCAGGAAGTTAAATTATTTGCAGTAATTTTAAGACAAAGCAACCAGGATAGAAAGGTCAATTCTAGTTCAGAAATGGTAAAGTCTAAAGATGAAGAGCATTGTTATCAATAAGAAATGGTGGGTTTTGAATTGCTGTCTTTCTGAAACCAAACTGAAATAGGAAAAAGAACAAACAGGCACTCCAGTTCTTAAAATATAAAGCTTACTGCCATCGGGCTTTATCCTTCAAGGAATTCTTCCTGGAGCTGCTCCCTTCCCCCGGGCAGTCCTCTTCCTCCGCCTCCAGGCTCCTGCTGCAGCTCCTGATGATCTGAAAGATGCTGTTGACTGTGGACTCCTTCTCCGAATTCTTTAAGCCATTTTGCCCCACTCTTTGTAAGAAATTATCTTGTCCACTGTAATCGGCTACAAACTGCAGAAAAATATATGGAGAATATGCTATTGCAACTTCATATAATACCTCTAACTACTTGGTTTGGGAAATGAAATCATAATAGTCATAAATAATGGCATTTGTGCTTATTTTATTGGGAAGAAAAAGAACCTCCAGGAAAAACATTTTTTCATTTCACCACATAAAATATCAAAACTCACTCTTGTTTCCACTAAGACAACTTTTATCCCTCTAGGAATCTGCGCTCCACTTTGAATTTAAAACACAAAAAGCAATGTTATTCCAAGGTTCCCTGGGGAGGTTAGCCACTTTACAGAGGAAGGACTGGGTTATTTTATCTTGTAGTGAGAAGCTAGAAAAACCATGACAAAAAATATATTATTCTACGGAACCAGTTAAAATGATTGGGACCCAGTGAAAAGAATGAGAAACGGTGACATTTTCCTTTATTTTCCATATATCTTAGTGTAACATGCAGCCTGCCTGGTGGTTTTTAACCTCTATTGTCTGGATTCTTGATCAGGAAGTTTTTCTTGTCAGTGGGAAGAGCTGAGCTCGGCTTGGAGAGGCTGTGTTTGCTCCCTGAGAGGCTGGTGTGGGCATATCCTCCATACTTGCTTTAAGCCACGTTTCCTGCACTTTCACCCCCTTAAATAAGCCAGAGAGATGCAAGTTGTAGGACTGTACCCGCCTGTACCAGCTAGGGGTTCTCATATCTCTCTGATATCAGTCCTTTGTCCCCAGGAAGAGGCTAAAGTGTAGCAGTCTTCCTACTGCTGCAGAGAAGGAATCTGAGTGAGTGAGTGAGTGCACGTGTGTGTATAGGAGGGGTCGGTGCGGGTTGAGGGGGAAGAATGTGAGAATGTGTAAGTTAAGTTATGAGTGCCGTCACTTTGGTGAGAATCATCCTAGATTTAGGTGTGAGACTTCCAGGTATGGGACATCTCAAAATTTGCCATGAAGTTCCCCCCATTTTAGTCCCTTCTTTCAAGCACCTGATCGGGTGCTTCTTCTCTCCCTGAGAGAAGAATGTCCCGAGTCAAAGCTCACAATGTCCTCTCCACTCAGGTACAAGAAGCAACTGACTTGGGAGAACTGAGGCAGCTGTGATCAGGAGCTGGAGCTCATCCTCAGACACAGCACCTGCTTCCCCAGAGTCCTCCCATAAAGGATGGAGAAAGGCAGTGTTGACTTGCCCCTGTCCTTTGTTCCCACTGATCTGGAAAAGTTAATACTCTAACTTGATTTCTCTTATCCCCTGCATCCAGATATTCCCACCCAAAGAGAGATGAATCCCCACCAACTTTACAAATAAAATCAGAAAGTATCAACCAATTTCACTTATACTTTGTCATATAAAATCAACTTTAATATTAAGCCCCAAACAGTACTAGTTGGCATTCTTTTCTCTGGAACTTTCAAGAGCCTACTGTTATCCAGTACAGCAATGACTACTAATAGCCCTAGGCCCAGTAAGTTACCTCTTCTTAAGGTAGTGAGGGATGACTAAGTAGACCTTGAGGTGGCCATGCTGGCTCCTCAGATCACAAGAACTTTGAAAGGCCTTACCTCTAAAGTTTCTTCTTGGGAATTGTACCTCGGGCAAAGCTTCATGAGGCCAGAGGCTCCATCGAGCACTTCACAGAGCTCCTTCAGAAACACCCCACAAAATGGAACCACTTTACAGCCGGGGATGTGCAGTGCCCGGGTCACCACCTTCTTGTACTCGCAAGAAGATTCGTGCTGAGCCATTGCGTCCTTCAGGCTCCTCATGGTCTCCAGATCAGACTGGTCCATGAACTGCCACATTTTTAAAACTTTTCGTGACCTGTTGCAAGTAAATGATATTTCAAAATTTTAATTAAAAATTAAATTTTTAAAAATTTATTGAGGTAATGATGGTTTATATTGTCATTTGTATTTTAGGAATATAGGACTCCCCCACAAAATAATATTCCATTGTGTGTGTGTGTGTAATGAATGAATTATCCATTCATTCATTGATGACACTTAGGTTGTTTCCATATCTTGGCTAATGTAAATAATGGAAGGAACATGGGAGCACATATATCTTTTTGAGTTAATGCTTTCATTTTCTTCATATAAATACCCAGGCAAGGAATTGCTGGATCACATGGTAACTCTGTTTTTCATTTCTTGAGGAACCTCTTTGTTGTTTTCCATAGTGGTTGGAATGTATGTTCCACAGTGGTTCCAGTGTATGTTTCCACAGTGATTCCAATGTATGATCTCACCAACAGTGCATGAGGCTTTCCTTTTCTCCACATCCCTTAACATTTGTTATTTCTTATCTCTTAAATAATAGCTAGTCTGACATTTTTTTTAAAGAAAAGTAACACAAATTCTTTGTAGAAAATTTATCACAAAGAGAACCAAGTCATCTGAAATAGCCTTCTGTTCTTCTAGAATTTTTTCCTTCTTTGAGCCATGCCTGGTGCATTTCTAAGACTATTTTAAATGTCAGTGACATGTTCATTTGAGTTTATTCTTAGTTAAGAAAGTTCAAAAGGACAAAAAAAATTCCAACTCTGAGAATTTTCCTCTCCTCTCCCAACCCTATGTAGGGACCTGGAGAATCAAAGAAAAAAATTCTTGATTATGTTAGGAAGCAAAATCTATTTATAGTGAGAACCCTGGTTAGGAAGAACAAAAACTATAGTAGATTCTCTCTATAAAGACTTTCTATAAACCAGACACACATGCTAAACAATTTAGATTATCTCATTGTATCCAAAGTAAAGAGGTAGGTGCTTTTATTATTGTCCCTGTTTTATAGGTAAAGAAACTGAGGCTCCAGGGAAAGAAAATGAGATGTAAGTTCAAGTAACTTACACCTATTCCATGGGGGAGACAGGATTTGATTCACTATTATTACGACTTGGCAATTCACATACTTTGTCCTCACACACCATGCTGCCTCCCACAAGTATGAAGGGCAGCTGATAAGGATTGTGACTAGCTTGCAGGAACTGAGTTGTGCAGCATCTGTGAGGAACAGGACTCATGGCACTAGCAGAAGACAATATGTTTTCTAAAAACGATCATATCAATTGTCTAGTTTGGGTAAAGGTGGTCACCTGGCAACTGATTCAGTATCATTCAGCTGGTTTTCCCTCTATCCATACCTGAGGCCAGCCAAGAACTCCATGACAGCGTTGTAGTTGCCCATGTTCCAGCAGCATTTGGCCACATGCACCAAGTATGAGAAGACTTCCCGCTTCTCCTCCATGGAGCCTGCAGTGAGGATCAGCCACGTCACCCAGGAGCTCACCTGGAAAACGCAGAGGGGGGCATCTACTGAAACTGTATGTTGGCCTTTTATAATCATTTTCCTGGAGTTTCTGTGAACTAGTATGTTGGCACTTTTATTGAATGCATTTTTGGGAGTTTCTGTGAGTGCTTCTAATGGGTTTTCTAGCAGAAGTGGCTAAGAGATTTGAGAAAAATTACAAGAGCATCTTGCAAACAGAGAGAACCACAGGAACTTGACATTTTCCCAGTTGAGAAATCTGAGGTGAAGCTCTAACCATCACTGCTGTGCTCTGGGTTTCTTCATTTTTGTCTTTAAAATCAGAAGGCAGAAATGTAACTCAGAATTCCCCTAATCTATAAAATTCTATCAGGATGTAAGAAAATAAGGCCTAAAGATAATATTGATTTAAATATATTTGATGGGTGTACAGCAAGATTAAATATAATCAGTGTACTTAGCCTATAAATGAATGATATTTATCAATAGTAAATTACATAACATCAAAGGAAAAATTACAAATATATATTTGAACTAGTTTTAGTTCTGTGATGCTGCTCAGATAACTAAATAATGAGAAAAACAAATACTTACATAGCACTTACTATATGCCAGGGCCTGTTCTAAGCTCTATATACGTGAACAGATTTATCTCTCACAACAATCCTAAAAGTCAGGGACTATTATTATCTGCATTTTATGGATGAGGGAACTGAGGGACAGATAGCCTGAGAGACTTGCTCAAGGTCCCCTACCAACAGGTGGCAAAGCCTGAATTTGAATTTGGTATGTGCCCCAGAGGTAGCACTATTTTTTTTTTTTAACTTTTTATTTTATTTTATTTTTTTTTTTTAATTAATAAATTTTATTTTTATATTCCCCATACAATTGCAATCCCCCCATTCTGACCCCAATCCCTCCCCTCCCGCCCCCCACCCCCCAAAAAGTGTCTCTGGTTCATAGTTTTTGTTGATTTTGATTTTCACTTTCTTATAGTTATTCATTTTCCTGGTAGCACTATTAACCAGGCATTAAATGCTTAATGTGTACACACGATCTTTACTGTTCTCATGCTCTGGGCTTAAATGGATTCTAATGTGATTTGATTTTTCTACTACATAGACTATAGTATGTAACAATAACCCATTACAAAGTCCCCCACTTTATATATACAGTCTCAAGATCCTCTGCTTAATCTCCTAAGATTATTTTGCTGCTACCTAAATTTTGTTGCTTGGACACCAGAGTCCACCTAAGCTATTTCTCTATCTTGGCTTATGTCTGAGCTGATAAGTTGCTAACAAACCAGAGCATCCATTCTGATGGCCACCAGCCCTCCCTGCCTCGTGGCCCATAGCTGCACTTGGTCCAGCAACAGTGCTGGAACCTGGGGAGCACTCAATTTCCTGGTCTGAGTGAGAGGCAGAGATCATGGTGACCCATGACAATTGCAGGGGGAGAGCTCAAGGTTTCTGACATTAATAAAAGAATAAAAGAATGCCATTTTGAGCTGGCAACAAGCACTACAACAATAAAGTCTGACTTTGTTTTTCCAGATCAAGAATCATGGCTCATGGGAGAAGTCACAATTCTTGATTTTAAAACTAGGACTCAGGTGCTCTTCCGTTTGATGACAGGTAACAGGTTCCTTAGACTTGGCACTGGTTAGATCATTCTAAGGACTCAGTAAGAGCTGCATATTTGATGACAGAACTTGAGTACCAAAAAACAGTTAAAGAAATGGAAAAAATAGAACAGAAGAGATTGATGCTGAACAACTGTTTTCTCTCCCTACACAGAAACAAATAGGGAAATAATAGCAACAGGGAATTTTTTCCTTAGTGATAAAACAGGATTTTATTTTCTGATACCAGCCAGGGGGACTGAATTAATTATCTGCCTATTTCCTTCTGAAACTGGCTGATCCAAAATGTAATGGGTCACTTGTATCCCTGAGTCCAGCCCCCATTCTGTGGGCTCTGAACATGCACCTCTGCTCTCTACCTGTTCTGGATTTGCAGGGCTCTTGATCAACATCTGGAGAACAGATTGGAGTGAGACCCTAGGGACAAGCCCTGGTCCAGACTATCCTGGAAGACATTCAGATCCTCGTGGAAAGAAGACAACTGTTGATTTGCTTTAGATGAGCTCTCTCCTACTATGGGAAATGATGAGCAAACACTCAGAATCATAAAATCTTCGACTCTGAGCTGGAAATTCAAATCCCTCTTACAAATAAAATGGTTCTTCAGAGATCCCTCATGCATTAGTTGCTGTGTTCTCTTTCCATGGCTTTGTTCTTTTCCTGTTGAAATTGATAGCAAATCAGGGTCTCTGGAAATTCATTGATCTTCCAGGTTATTCTAGCAATAGCAGTGACTTCTTAGTCCAGGGACCTGAAAGGGTTAACTCACCTCCCCTTGGAGAGGTCTGCTTCATGCAACAGGTGCACACCACTTGGTTCATGCCTCAATCCTGATCACACAACCAGATTTATCTCCTATCAGTCAAATAATTTTCCATATACTTTCCCACAAGGCTAGGAAAAAAATAGCGATACTGTATTTCACATGGAAACCTAATTTAAACCAACTGTTCCATCTCCAAGTGTGAGTCCCCAGGGTCTGGTTGTTGAGATTATGTAAGCACTGTTATAAACACACACACACACACACACACACACACCAACATCTGCTTACATAACTCAGGAATAAATCTTATTATGGCCTAACATATTCATATTTTCATAGGTAGTCAATGATGAAAATGTTATTACCAATTATGAAAAATAAGTGACACATAAAAGGAAATAAGGATTTGGTAAAGATGGTAAAACGTTACCCAAAGCACAAACAGTGGTCACATTTACTAAGTGGAAAATGAGATGTGTTGTGGATCTGAAAAGAATTTTGGGACACTGAAATCATACCCAGACTCACAAATATTCTAAATTACCATAACTCAAGTTCAGGGAATACCCCGAGAACATAGAGCAGAAAGGTGTTCAAGGTGGCAGATTATTTTGCCTTATTTCAATTGTCAGCACAGAAAGAAGAGAGAATCTGGCCTCCAGCCCAGTTCTGTGAGCATTCCTCCCTGTGGCTCTGTGCTCATCCCATGACCCTGGGCCCTTGGTACATGTCCACAACCCTCCACAACTGCTCCTCTCCAAATGTTTTCTTCCTGCCTTCCCTTGCTTTTCCCAACATTCTGAGCTGTAGTCAGCTTGCCCCCTCTTCTCATATCACATGTCTTATAGGCATCCTACAAGCTCATTTTGGAAGGAATGCTTTTGCGTCATTCAAAATGAGCCTTCTCTTGTCTACCCATGTTCTCTGTAAAGCCAAGTCCTTACCTTAGGTCACTAGGCCCCTGTCTGTTCTTAAAGTCATCTCAATTTCTGCCCCCATTCCCCACTTTTAGAAAAGTGAACCAGGTTTTTTCAATCTCAGGGGTCATATACTGGTTGTTCCTTTTATGGGAAGGTTTTCCCCATCCCCTTCCTTGTATTTAGCAAACTCTTACTCAACCTTTAGGCAAAACTGCCCTTTGACCCTGCAGCCAGGATCCCTACCCTGGGCCCCATGCTTTACAAGGTCCACAGTGTACTCTTGTCCACAGAGTGAGAAGCCTGTGGGGGGAAGGAATATGTCTGCCCACTGGCTGTGTTCTCACTTCCAGATTATTCACCTCTATAGAGCTGACTCTCAAATTCACTCACCAGAGCCTCAAGCCTACTTCCAGGCCTGTCTGGGTCAGTTCACCTGAGATAGATCATAACTCTAGGCCTGAAGACTGACCCAGGGGTGGGACATGTGCCTCCGTGTGTGTGTGTGTGCACGCGTGTGTGTTTGTGGGTAGTCTGAACTTGAGGCCGAAGTGTCCACCAGCACAGGAGCCAGGACTGAAAGAGAAGATAGAGAGGCCATGGGCTGAGGCCTCCTTTATACTTAGAACTGGCTTCCCTAAAATCAGGGCAAAGCTGCGTTCAGGAATGAAAGCAGCACTTTCTTGAGGAGGGCTGCCTACTTGGGCTGGGGCACTGTGCTGTTATGCAGGGTCCCCATGTCTCCTTGTCCCCAAACATTCTGCACAATCAGTACTTTGTTCCCCAGTAGGTGGCATCTGGTGAGTGGTGCTTGCTGGCAGCAGTGCCACTGTGGGTGCTTAATGAGTTGGCGAATGCATGGTGGGTGGATGTGACCACCTCTTGGGAAGCTTTTCTGATGGCCCACCTAGTACCTCACACTCAGTTTTTTCCTGTTTCTTTTTTATTTAACATTGAACCTTGAGTCCAAAATTATGTCTGCATTTGCATTCTCACTGCTGCATGGATTTGCATCTGGATTATTTTAGTTGTATCTGTGGGCCTGACTCTTTCACATGGGTTTGTTCTGTCTTCCCCACCAGACCTTAAGTCCTCAAGGACAGAGACCATCTTTCCCACATCTCCAGTAAGGGATGCTTGGTGCCTCTGACCGACAGGCAGGCCACCCAGAGTCCCAGGAGGCTGTGGGCAGTGAGGATTCCCAGCCTCCAGATGCTCAGGGATTATATTTGGGAAAAGGCCTGAACGCTTCCTACTGTTGTTCCCAGGTCCAGAAAAAAGGAACATATGACTTTCTGCCAAATTGGTTTTTCAAATATACTGAGCAGAAGTTTTCATAGAAAGATGATGCTTCTATAATGGGTATCTGATAGTGCTAACTGGCAAAGGCTGGGTTCCGAAGGCGAAATCCAAGGAAGACAATGACAGCATAGACAGAGATACTCTAAAGGCAAAAGCCATGACTTATTCATGCTTGGACCTCAGTACTGAGATTGTCAGGGCCATCAAGTTACACACGCCCAGCCATCTTCCTTGGCATAAAGTGGGTACAGAAGAGGCTCTGGAGCTCTTGGTGCTGCTTGGCATGTTTCTACCCATGTCTTTTTTAGGTGTTACCCAGAAGGGAAAAGGGAGGTACCTAGAAGAGAAGTCCCAGACACATCTTGGACTCTAGGTCCCCTTTCCCCTCAAA